ATATATATATATATATATATATATATATATATATATATATATATTTTACATTTACTGTGTTATAAGTAGAGGATTGCATTTTTGTACGCTTAAAGTTATCTGCCAAACAATACTTTCTTCCATGTTTTTTTTTTTGCTTTATCTCAGATATCTTTAGCTCTTGTTATCGCAACAATGAAAGTCGCTCCTTCAAGCTGCTGATTAGGAAATCTCCTGTTTGGGGCGGGACCACCTGCCTACAAATGGGCATGAGCGCTGACGCCCGACTTTTCTTCAGCCATGATGGAGTGCAGGTTTGTTTTCGTTTTCATAACTATGTCACTGTGTCACCACAGTGAAACCCTCTTTTTACTTCTAATATGACAATTCTGTTAAAAATTAAAAATTAAATAAAAGCAAAAAATTTGGGGTTCTTATAATTAAGACTCTGAATTTCACATGAAGGACAAGATACTTTAGGTTTATTTACATGCAAAAAAAAAAGACCAAATGCGTCATGGATGAATAATTGTAGTAACTTTATGGAAAAGGGTGATTGACTGAATTTTGAAAATGATGTTCAGATACTAAAATATGAAGTATATACTCTGGTAAAACTATTAAAATCATAAGAGAAGAAAGGCAACAAAAATATAATAAATTTACAGCACATAGAAAGAAAATAAAACAAATATGTGTTTTACTAATGAGTCTATCAGCTCTTAAGTAAATAGAAAATGTCATTATTAAGGACAAACCCATAGCCACAAAGTCAATAAATGGAGCAATCTGACTATTTAAAATGATCTTTCACTGTTGGTCTGTGAGGGGTTCATTAGTGAACGTGGTCCTTGGCAGGTCCTAGGTTTGAACCTTGACAGCAACTCACTGGAGACCTTCTTGGTTATCACAGCTGCCTATCAGAAAAGCTTCAGTCCATCTCTGGTCTTGTGTTGTTGACAGTTAGCTTTAGCTAGCATTTCCAAAATGTCCTTTAGACCAACTAAACAATTAAAGCTGGCTCCAATCCATGGATGGAAGAGAGAACTCAGTGTCTGAGTCCAAAGTTTAGTTTAGTTTAGTTTGGCTTTAAAAATGTGATATTATATTTTTGGCTTGCTGAAGCTCTGACTTGACTGCGAAGGTTGATAGTTGCTGCATTTACACACAGGGCTTAATTTGTAAACCAACTGATTGGGGAGTGGGGGGTGGGGGGGTCCTCCCCCAGAAAATTTGGAATAAGAAATGCCATTTCCTGCATTTTGGTGTATTTTTATGGAAGTAAATATGTGCCGCTAGGATTTGAAATAAAATGCCACTGAAATTTTAATATATTTTAACAGGTTGTTAAACATCTGTAAACATTTGATTAAATTGAGTAAAAACAGGTCTCTCTTGTAAATGAGTCCTCAAGGCTCAATGAGACTAACAACCTGTATAAATAAAGGTTGACTTGAAATTACTATTTTAGAGAGCAACAGCAGCAAGCCTGTGTGTAAAAGGCAATCCATTCATCTATTTACTTTAGATGATAAATTGGACTGTCTTTTCAACATTTTGATTGCTGTTATTTTGACAAATTTTGAAACGTGATGATGTGAATAAAACACATCAAACATTTCACTCGTATTTAAATTTTTTTTACTGTAAGCTTTTTTTATTTATTAACTTTGAAATGTATGCAGGAGTTCTGACACATTAGCAGTTGTGCGCGCTCCACAGAGCTGTCTGGAGACGCTCCTGTGTATAAAACATGCACTGTCTCAGGGCGCACAGCTGAGCGAGGTGAAGCTGACACCCTACCCACGTCAAACATTCTAGTAAATACAGTGAGTGGTGCTACGTTTGTGCTGGTTTGTGCCGGTTTGTGCCGTTAAAATGTTCGTTTGCGCTGCTTTGGTTTCTGAGACACAGCTGAAGGTGGACGAAGACGCTTCATCCCCGCGGGACATGCGATCAGCGTCTCTGCTGGCAGCAGCGTGTGCGCAAGCTGGTGCACCTGCTGCAGCAGTTACATCCACTCCACAGACATTGGCAACATCTCTCGTTGCGCGATGACTTTGGACTTTGATGGGTGGAGATATGAGCTGCCGGATCCAAGCGAACAGTTGCCGGAATGCACACGGTGAAAATGAGAGAGTTCCCGGATCTTGTTCCGGCAGGATCCGACTCAAATTAACCCCTGCTTACATGAGATAAGAAAAGATCTGTCAGGTCTGTTGGAGCAAAGATTAGTCAGCAAGCCTCCCCTGACATTTAGGCTGTGGGAAGGTTGAAGGTCTATCAATCTTTTGTAGTGGGAATCCAGAACCGACAGTTGGCATGTACCTCTCTGTACTGGTGTAGGAGGATGAGCCACTCCTACACTTTACTAGCATCTTGGCGGAAGTGAAACATGATGATGACGGCTGTAATCTAATAAACTCATCTAGCCTATGGGATTGTTTCATGTTAAAACAATTTATAAGAGGCTGTCACACAGTATTGTCTAGAGTGATGAGAAACCTAAATGACTGTCAAAAATGACTGCATTATATACTACACAAATAAATATTTATTGTATATTTTTCTAATGCCATGTCTTACACAAGCTAATTTTTTGTGTTGAAAATATACTTACAAATTGTGCAGCACAGTGGCACAACTGGTAGAGCTGCTGCCTCTCAGCAAGCAGGTCCCTGGTTCAAATCCCAGTCCAGGTGCCTTTCTTGGTGGAGTTTGCATGTTCTCTCCGTGCATGCGTGGGTTTTCTCCGGGTACTCCAGTTTCCTCCCACAGACCAATAACGTATGTTAGGCTGATTGGTAATTCTAAATAGTCCCTAGGTGTGAGTGAGAGAGTGAATGGTTGTTTGTCTCGAGTGTCTCTGTGTCCCTGTGATGGACTTGTGACCCATCCAGGGTGTACCCCGCCCCTCGCACTGTGATTGCTGGACATGGGCACCAGCGACCCCTGTGACCCAAAATGGAAGATGCGGGTAAAAGATAATGGATGGATATACTTACAAATTGTCCAGATGAATGACACTTTTCTTTAATACTTTGTGTAATATGAACGTTTTATTGCTATATTTGTTTTTGTAAAAACAGCAACACAAAAGCTTTGAAGCAATAATTTCAAATCTAACAAACCTTCAGCAGTGTGTATTTGATGTTTCTTTTTGGCTTTTATACATTCCAACTTTATTACTTACTTCATTAAACGATTTAATAGAGCAAAAATAATTTCTCTTTCAGTCCCTGTTGTCCCAAATCTGGTGGGGTGACATGGAGAGGAACACAGAGGTGTGGAAACTTCTGCTCACTTTCTTCTGCCCTTTCCTTTGCTACACCAACCTCATCTCCTTCAAGTAAAACTTGCAGGATAATGTATGACATTAACTTTTCAAAGGTATAAAAATACCTTTTTTCTTTAAATTCTTTTTCAAATTTTGTGACATAGGGAGCAATTTGAGCAGCAACAAGAGGAGGAGAAGCCTAACGAAGACAGACCAGCTAACATTCATTATGGAACGACCGTCTTCTCTTTCGCTGACATCAAGCACATGTAATATTGTAACTAGTGGATATTAAGCATGTTTTTCCTCCTATATTTTCTCTTTTGTTCATAGCATGTGATTTTAATGTTGAGACATTTTTAATGAGGCGTATTGCTTCACATTTAAGTGTGCTGATTTGCTGAAAATCTCTTGTTGCACCAGTGATGCTGATTCACAAGAAGTTACCACTCCTGTGACTGCTACCATCCAAGGTAATGTTTCAGAGGTCGGCACTGAAAAACATAAATGCTGACATCAATATTGTGTTTCAGCATCTGGTCTCCCTTTTAACGCAGGCATACCTGAACCCTACAGACCACCACAACGTCCGTTCGTAGTGTCACGCTGGCGTCAGTTCTGGTTTGCACCTGTCACTGCGTTTTTGGGAAACGTCCTGATGTACTTTCTCTTCCTCGGGCTTTTTGCGTACGTTCTGTTGATGGACTTCAAGCCACCACCGCCCTCAGGTCCAGCCATCACAGAGTGCATGCTGTACTTCTGGGTGTTCACCATTGTGTGTGAGGAAATGAGAGAGGTTGGTTTGGTCTTGACTGATGCATTTACTTCTTTTTAAGTCTTTTGGGGGATGTAAATCATTCAATGTTAGTAATTTACTGTCATTAAACACACATAAGTAGACACACCAAGTGTTGTTCAATTTTTACAACACATTTTGCCATTCTTGAGAACATCCTTGCTCTTGTAAAATTGCTATTAATAATTTTGCTACATCTCTTGCATTTTTGCTATTATATTTTTGTAGACACATTTTTAATATAATTAATTATTTTCCCAGACATTCTTTTTAGGGAATATGACCCGGCGTCAAAGGTTCAGAATCTACATTCAGAATGTGTGGAATAAATTTGACCTCATTGCCATAACACTGTTCATCATTGGATTGATCAGCAGGTAGGAACATCATTTACCTCACAAAACATTGTGCAGTAAAACTAATATATATATTTTTTGTCCTATCTGAATGTTTTATTCTCAGTGACTATATGTAAACAAAACTTACTAAAACACATGGAACACAAACATAAAACAGATAAGTTGTAAGAAAAATCATACCAACACTTTCCGTTTATCAAAATTTGAATAATCTGTCATGTTTGCTTTTGTTTGCTTCCCTATACGTGATGGTGGAGGCAACAAGTCCTGGGGCAAAACTTGAATATTCGGAATCAGAATAAGCTTTATTATCATTGTACCGAGATACAGTGCAGTTATGTTCATACAGTCGTCCGAAAGATGGGCAGAGTGCACATTACTGCTGCTACAAGATCGCGGCCTCTTATTCTTTATCAGAATACTTTTTAGATAGAAAAGGGGAAAAGGCGATAGACAAAGCTTTTCCATAGTTTACCCATGTCACAGGAGAAATTTGATAGTTGGCCTGCTTTCTAGGCAGACCAACTATCAAAAACAAGCAAGTCAGATTCAGATAAGCCATAATTGTTGAGTTTCTTTAGGCAGACTTTTTTTCTTGTCAGTCTTGAGTCCTGCTGGTACTTTTGATCCAAAATGGCCAGATTTGTGGACATTTCACTGAAGTGTGCTATGAGCCTCCATCGAGGTCGTTTCCAACATGCTGGCGAGTTCTAGAAGCCGCAGGTGGCCTGCGATTCTCACAAATCTCTTCCACCTTACGGTTTAGCTCATAAATCAGCTGATTTTGAGTACTCGCAGCACAAGCCAAACCTTCAAGGCAGGCAGCCTGACAAGTGCCAAATTAGCTGCAGCCATCTTCTTTGTATGTTGATAAACCAGGAACCAGCCGATTCCAAAAAGCAGGAAACCTGTTAATCATAAATCCAATTATATGTCTTCGACATCCTCCTGAGACAAAACGGAAAGACACATCAGCTCCCATATCCATGACGTGTCCTGCAGCTTGAGCCTCAGCAGGACATGCGGGCTCTCCAGGACCCTGTTGCTTTGTTGAAAAGATTTTGTCGATTGCGCTGAAAGTCCAGCTCACCAGAGCCATAATAGTATTTTTCATTCATTAATTCTTTCAACCTTTATTTAGACAGATAAATCACATTGAGCCTCGAAGACTCATTTACAAGTGAGATCTGCGTAGACAGACAAAAAGTAGTGAAACTGGAACACGTAGGAATTGGAGGCAAAAAAAATTCCTATTAAATTTTTCTTCTTGGCTGAGAAGAAAAACTCGAATATTAAAAAAACACCTTGCACATACAAACACATAGTGACGTAGATATTCCGCAGAGGGGAGTGGGGAGATGACGCGAGCGATGAACAATGTTCAAGGATGCACTCGAGGACACTGTAAGAGTTTGGATAAGGATGTAATAATCAACCAGTTCCCTCAGGTGAGATCCGTAAACATTCTTGAGGAATGTCGCGGCATGGCCAGGGACAACGTTAAATACAGATAAATACACAGTTGTTTTGAGGACAGGCAGAACTTAATGACATCTACCTTGAGTCTGTGTTGGTCCAAACGGTTCAGAAATGTCCAAATTACATGGCCACACCGATAGAACGTGCCTGTGTAAGATCCCAGAGATCTGATCCATTCTGCCCAAAGCATTTGAGTCTGGGTACTCGAGGTACACGAGGGTACATGAACCAATCCATCATAAAGGCAAGCAGCCTGATTAGGTCCAAATTTGCTACCGATGACTTCCTTGATTGTACATCAAATCAGCAACCAGCCAAATCCAAAAAGCAGGAACCAGTTATCGTAAATCTAATTAAATATGCGTCCTTAAAATCCACAAATGGCAGCAGAGATAGACACATCATCAAGTCTTCAAGTCGATGAGATATCCAGCTGTGTGCATGCCAACAGGGCAAATCGGCTCACCTAAAGCCTGTCTTCTCTTTGAAGAAATGTTATCAATTGTGTTGAGGGACCAACTGATCAAAACAAGTCTATAATTATGGTTCGGAAGATATGCAAGAGAGGCTCAGAAGCAGTTTCACAGACAGACGGACAGAGCAGCAAAGCAAAGCGGAGAGGGAGGGTAGGGAAAAGCATCCGACCTCAGCAAGAGCAAGTGGTGACGTTCGGAATGTGTGTAACAGGAGCTCCGAGACACAGAGGGCAAAAAAGCAGTAGGAAGAGGAGAACTGGAAGGAGAGAAAAGGCATCTGCCTTCTGCAAGAACAAGTGTAGAATTTTTTATTTATTTTTTCCCTCTGTAATGCTCTTCAGCTACTTCTGGAGTATTCCTAGGTGTTCCTTATCAGTTCAGGTTTCCTCCCTGTAAAACATGCATGGAAAACTTTAAAAGGAGGCAATTGGGAGGCATCCTAATAAAACACTTCAGCTCACTGATTTTAATGTGGAGAAGCATGAGGAGACTCCTAGAATAGAAAACTTAAAAGCTTCCTCCTTCACCTTGATAGCTTTCCTTACCTTTGGTGTGCACCAGCTGGTCATCTGGTAATCGCCCCAACAAACACTGATAGAAATTCTGAGCAGGGCCCATTAAGACTTTGTCCCACACTTCCCTGGGTTTCAAGAAAACTCCTGCAGGTATGAGCTGAAGAAGTCAAGTGTAGAGCCCTCTTCTGGACATTCTCATTCCTCTCCTACCAGGTCTTTCTGACATTCTTCTCTTTTACCAGATCTAAAGATGGGTACCATGCTGTGGTTAGCTGACACCTCTGCTCTTCACCTGAGTGTCCAAATCGGAACGCCCAAAACTTGATGACACGACAAAATTAATCACATTTAGTCCAAGGTGGCTTGGCACCTGTGCTCAAACAAGGCTCAACATGCCTCCCCTCTGTACAATTTTAGAGGGTGAGGAAGTTTATCCCCTCTCCAGGAGTTTGATTTCAGACTAAAATCTATGAGTAAATACGAGTCTGTCTATGTCTTGATGCCATTGCTCAACCTCACACAAAGTTTTTGGTTACTTCTATCCCTTGGGATGATCTTCTATTTTGTTATTATTAGGTATTGTGCCGGTGCATGGAACCACTGGCTGCCTTAGTAGTGTGAGATTTATTACATGCACATCTTGAACATTGTGCATCTTTATCTAGTTCAAATCAATAGCCATATGCTGTCTGATGCAGATGTTTAATATTCAGCACTCAGCAGGTTGGTTTCTGTAGCAAATAGGCAGCAACAGAACAAAGAATAGTAATACCACATTGTATATGCTTTAGTGTCTATAAAATAAGCATTTAAAATCAACAAATTGTATACATAGCAATTAACATTTTGTTATTGTTCTATGGAGGGTCCTCCTTCCACCTCCCTCATTTTGAAAATCAGAGAGCACTGTTTCTGTAGCTGCTTACAAAACCAACCATATATGTAGAATATGTTTATTTGAGTAAGACTGCTTGGTGATGAGTCAGTGCAAAGCATTACAACATTAAGACCCACCAGATTGTAACTGCCTGTCACGGTCAAAGTCCAACACCCTACCTCATAGCTATGTTTTCTACAGATAAATTTTATTATTATTGTTATTATTACAAAAAAATTCAAATCAAATCTGAGTCTGAAATATCTTTTTACAGACTGTTTGTCTCTTAATATGACTCTGACCTTTCTTCATCATCTTTCTCATCCTCTAGCTGCTGCTGGTTTGATCCAGGAGAGCAGAGCACTGCTTCTGCAAGCAGTCTGTTGTAGCTCTTTCTTTTTTTCCACCTTTCTTTGCATAATGCTGCATTTGGTAAATATACTAAATCTGTAGTGTATGATAATAAAGGATTAATGGCGCTGGATGAGACTTTCTTCATAGACGAGGCGGAATTGAAGCAAGTGAAGTTAGAAATTTGGCATCTGAGGTTCAAGGTTCAAATCTACTTGTTTTGTTGACCTGCTGGTTAGCCACCACCAGGACTCTGCTGGGCAGAGAAAAGGTGAACAGTGTTTACGAGTTGCTCCAGAAGCATGCATCTGTGTCCAACTGTCCACCTCGAGCACAGCGCTTCCACTTTAACAGTAGCACAGCACTGATTTGCCAAAGAAGACTATCATGAGCTTACATTGATCAACAGAGCCCCAAGGATCATGGAGGTCCTCAAACCTCTCCAATAAAAAAAAGTTTAGGTTGTTTTTGATCATTTTTAGGCAAACATTGAAAAAGGTAAATTTTTCTTTTTAGCAGCGACAGTTGTGCAGAATCTTTTTATAAGCATATATATGTGTAACAAAAAAATAACATGCATATATCTTCGAGGAGATTATTAGGCACTATTGTTTGAATATATATTTGATTTAACCTTAAATGTGCTTTTAGGATGTTCAAGGTGTCTTATGAATTCGGACGTGATGTTCTATGTGTGGACTACATGGTCTTCACACTTCGTCTCCTTCACATTTTTGCTATTCACAAACAGCTGGGACCAAAGATTATCATTGTTGGCAAGATGGTGAGAAATTTTAAATATTGACTTTATTTTCTAATTGTACCTTCTTTTTTTTTTAACAACAAAATGACGAGAAAATAAATTCTTCTGTTCAGGTAAAGGATGTTTTCTTCTTCCTCTTCTTCCTGGGAGTGTGGCTCATGGCGTACGGAGTAGCAAATCAGGCTTTGCTTTACTCCTACGATCCTAACTTCAGTCGCATTTTTCGCAGAGTTTTCTACAGACCTTACCTACACATCTATGGACAGATTCCTGTGGAGGAAGTTGATGGTATGAGTCTTTTTTTTGTCTTTCTTTTATTTACATCCAGCACATTCATTGCAACATTTTAAAGATTACCTCATTAATTAAGGCAGCACAGTGGCTCTGTGGGTAGCACTGTTGCCTCACAACAAGAAGATATTTGGTTCATCCTGCTCTGGCCTGGGGTCTTTCTGTATGGAGTTTGCATGTTCTCTCCGTGCATTCGTGGGTTTTCTCCGGGTACTCAGGTTTCCTCCCACAGTACAAAAATGTGCACATTAGACTGTCTTCAGGTCCAAGCTTCTTTTGCAAAGGAGAACTGTTATCTCAATGGGATTTTTTTGGTTAAATAAAGGTTAATAAATAAATAATACATTAATTATTTGCTTGTTTATTTAAATATGGAAAACATTATTACTTGTCTTTAATTTAGCCTCTTTTTTTCCAATTCCAGTTGATAAAGTGTGGGATCTAACCTGCACAGACAACATAACGTTGATTGAAGACGGTGCAGAGCCATGCAGGTCTCTGAACAATAACTGGCTAGTGGTCATTCTGTTGGTCATTTATCTCCTGGTTACAAACATCCTCCTCATCAACCTGCTCATTGCCATGTTTAGGTAGGTGGGGTCAGCAGAGCAATGCACTTACAGGTGCTGGTCATAAAATAAGAATTTCATGAAAAATTTGATTTATTTCAGTAATTCCATTCAAAAAGTGAAACTTGTGTATTATATTCTTTCATTACACACAGACGAATATATTTAAAATGTTTATTTCTTTTAACATTGATGATTATAAGTGACAACTAATGAAAACCCCAAATTCAGTATCTCAGAAAATTAGAATATTGTGAGAAGGTTCAATATTGATGACACTTGGTGCCACACTCTAATCATCTAATTAACTCAAAACACTTGCAAAGGCCTTTAAATGGTCTCTCAGTCTAGTTCAGGCTACACGATCATGGGGAAGACTGCTGACTTGACAGTTGTCCAAAAGACGACCATTAACACCTTGCACAAGGAGGGAAAGATGCAAAAGGTCATTGCTAAAGAGGCTGGCTGTTCACAGAGCTCTGTGTCCAAGCACATTAATAAAGAGGTGAAGGGAAGGATACGATGTGGTAGAAAAAAGTGCACAAGCAATAGAGATAACCGCACCCTGGAGAGGATTGTGAAACAAAACCCATTTCAAAATGTGGGGGAGATTCACAAAAAGTGGACTGCAGCTGGAGTCAGTGCTTCAAGAACCACCACGCACAGACATATGAAAGACTTGGGTTTCAACTGTCGTGTTCCTTGTGTCAAGCCACTCTTGAACAAGAGACAGTGTCAAAAGTGTCTCAACTGAGCGAAAAACAAAAAGTACTGGACTGCTGCGGAGTGGTCCAAAGTTATCTTCTCTGATGAAAGCAAGTTTTGCCTTTCCTTTGGGAATCAATGTCCCAGAGTCTGGAGGAAGAGAGGAGAGGCACAGAACCCATGTTGCTTGAGCTCCAGTGTCAAGTTTCCACAGTCAGTGATGGTTTGGGGGGCCATGCTGGTGTTGGTCCACTGTTTTCTGAGGTCCACGGTCAACACAGTCGTCTACCTGGAAGTTTTAAAGCACTTCATGCTTCCTGCTACTGACCAACTTTATGGAGATGCAGATTTCATTTTCCAACAGGACTTGGCACCTGCACACAGCGTCAAAGCTACCAGTACCTGGTTTATGGACCATGGTATCCCTGTTCTTAATTGGCCAGAACATTTATGGGGTATTGTGACAAGGAAGATGTGATATGCCAGACCCAACAATTCAGAAGAGCTGAAGGCCACTATCAGAGCAACCTGGGCTCATAACACCTGAGCAGTGCCACAGACTGATAGACTCCATGCCACACCACATTGCTGCAGTAATCCAGGCAAAAGGAACAACAACTAAGTATTGATGCTGCACATGCTCATACTTTTCATGTTCATACTTTTCAGTTGGCCAACATTTCTAGAAATCCTTTTTTTATTTTGGTCTTAAGTAATATTCTAATTTTCTGAGATACTGAATTTGGGGTTTTCATTAGTTGTCAGTTATAATCATCAACATTAAAAGAAATAAACATTTGAAATATATCAGTCCGTGTGTAATGAATGAATATAATATACAAGTTTCACTTTTTGAACGGAATTACTGAAATAAATCAACTTTTTCATGATATTCCAATTTTATGACCAGCACCTGTATGTTTAATGACTCAATTCTTTAGATTTAATGATCTTTGTGTCCACTAGCTACACCTTCACTGAAGTGCAGGCTAACAGTGACATCTACTGGAAGTTCCAGCGCTACAACCTCATTGTCCAGTATCACTCCCGGCCCTCACTGGCTCCTCCCTTCATCATCATCTCTCACATCAACTTATTTATCAAGAGGATCATCCGCAAGGTTCCCTCTGTCAAGGTCCACCAGTTTGGTTAGTATTTGGACTAAAGGTTTATTTCAAAAGTAATTGTAAAGTTATACTGTATATAATGATCAAGTCTTCTTGTTGGGTGCTTACTGGCTCCCCCAAGTACTACAAGTAACTAACAGAATAGACTTGATGCTCACCATCTCCCTGTCCTTTTTGTTCCCAGTTCTACTGTTTTGTTTTGTCTTAAAAAGTTAAACCTGGTCCTCTGGACATACAAAAAAACAAACAAAGCAAAAATAACAAAAAAATGTAGAAACGTTTTGTCTCTCATCCGAGAGACTTCCTCAGTCTGAGGTGCTGAGGAGCCAGGCAGAAGGAGAAATCCCACACAAGACAGGCTCTAGAGCAATGTGGATATCCTAACTGGGCCTTCCTGAAAGCAGAGAAGAAACCCAAACAGGACTCCAGTCAGCCAACAGGTGAAAAGGAGGAACCCAGACCCAGACCAGTGGTCATTCCATACGTTGAGGGAGTATCAGAGAAACTGAGACGTTTATTTTCTAAACATAACATCCCAGTGGCTTTTAAACCCCAAAATACATTACGGCAAAGACTGGTTCATCCCAAAAATCCAGTCCCCCGGCACAAACAGAGTAATGTTGTGTATGCTGTTCAGTGTCAGGAGGGTGATCAGTCTTACATCGGGGAAACTAAACAGCCACTGGCCAAAAGGATGGCCCAGCACAGAAGATCAACATCATCAGGCCAGGACTCTGCGGTCTACACTCATCTCCAGGCCAGCGGTCACTCTTTCAGGGATGAAGATGTTCACATCCTGGACAGAGAGGAACGATGGTTTGAGAGAGGAGTAAAGGAGGCCATCTTTGTGAAAAGAAACCGTCCATCGTTAAACAGGGGTGGAGGCCTCCGGGTTCAACTGTCCCCCTCTTACAATGCTGTGATTGCTAGTATCACTCAGCCCTCTGTGAACAGTAAACAGCCATCAGTGTGCTAATGATCCATTGTTAGGCTGATGGTCCTTCTTGAGCATGTGATCAGCTGGTTTTGGTTGTCAGCAGCAAAACTGGTTGATCCACTCTGAGACGGTGCTATTTAAGAGACTGAGCTGAATACATCTCCTCAGACTGAGGAAGTCTCTCGGATGAGAGACGAAACGTTTCTACATTTTTTTGTTGTTTTGCTTTGTTTTGTTTTGTTTGAATGTCCAGAGGACCAGATTTAACTTTTTTAGATTTTTCTACCTGGATTATTGAGCATGCATCAGGGTGTTTTGTTTTGTGTTGTTCAGCTAACACTTAAGAGTTGGACAATATTATTGATTTTTTTTTTTTTATTAGTTTTGCATTTGAGAGGGAAAGAAGCGAACAGATTAACGACGTGGGAAACCATCCAGAAAGAGGACTTCCTGACTGCTCAAAACAAAATCCAAAAAAGCAGCGACTCTGAAAAACTCAAACGGATGTCTGACAAGTGAGCTCTCCAAGTTATACCACAGCAGCTGGAATCTTCATGAGGAAAAAAGAGGAATAAATGTCTGCTATCCCCTTTTTTCCCAGGTTAAATGGTGTTATGAAACAGTTGTCTGAAATCAAAGAGTTTGACCACAGGCTTAAAGCTCTGGAGAATGAGGTAAACATTAAGTATGCCATGATGAGGACTAGTAATCTGAAATGTGTCAACCTCACTCTTTACGCGTGCCACCCAATGTTCTTGAAACTTTAGGGAAGTTTCAATGCTTTGATTTGACAATACAAAATCTATTGCAGATATATTTTTAAATTAAACTCACATTTTGTGTGTGTAATATTCTAAACATAAATAATAATAATAATACATTTTATTTGTATAGCGCTTTTCTAAATACTCAGACGCTTTACATGAGTAAAAAATAAAAAATAAAATCAACAATGCATACCACATAAAAACACAGTAAAACATTTAAAAAGGGCAAACTTAAACATTAAAAGCAATTTTAAACAGGTGGGTTTCGAGTTCTTTCTTAAAAGTGGAGATATCGGAGCAGACACGAAGCTTTTGGGACAGTGAGTTCCAGAGGGTGGGGGCAGCGATGGAGAAGGCTCTGTCTCCCCAGGTTCAGAGCTTGGTCCTACAGGGGAGAGACAGAAGGTTGGCATCAGAGGAGCGGAGGGAACGAGAAGTAGTGTAGTGATAGTGATGGAGTAGGTGGGTCAGGTATGGAGGGGCCAGGTTATGGAGGGCTTTGAATGTGATGAGGAGGATCTTGAAATGGATGCGCTGAGGGATGGGGAGCCAATGGAGTTTCTGCAGGACAGGAGTGATGTTCACGGGAGCGGATGTGGGTGAGAAGGCGGGCAGCAGAGTTTTGAATATATTGCAGTTTGTTGAGAGTATTGGATGGTGTACCATACAGATTGCTACTGCAATAGTTGATTCTGGATGTGACAAAGGCATGGATTAGGATTTCAGCAGTGGAGAAAGTGAGTGATGGGCGAAGTCGTGCTATGTTTTTGAGATGGAAGAATGCAGTTCGAGTTCTCTGACGTGTTTCGAATAAAAGAGTGGAGTCGAGAAGAATACCAAGATTACGAATGAGTGGTGATGGAGTGAGAGCGATGTTGTCAAAGTTGAGGCAGAAGTTTTGAGTGGACTTTGTAACAGTGTTTGGACCAATGACGAGTATCAGTTTTGTCAGTATTTAATTTGAGAAAATTGTGCTTCATCCAGATTTTGGTGTCAGTAAAGCAATGGGTGAGGGCGGAGTGGATGTTGGGGTTTATGGATGTAGTAGAAATGTAAATCTGTATGTCATCAGCATAGCAGTGACAATGGAGGCCATGACGGTGGATGATATCACCAAGGGGGAGGATGTAAAGGATGAAAAGGAGAGGACCAAGCACTGAACCTTGGGGAACACCCTGGGATAGAGGGGTTATGGAGGAGGAGCAGCAGTTGATGTGAAGAAACTGTTGCCGGTCTGTGAGGTAGGACTGAAACCAGGACAGAGCGGAGCCAGTGATGTTCAGGTTGGACTTGAGACGGGACAGGAAGACGGAAGGACTAACGGTGTCAAAAGCTGCAGTGAGGTCCAGAAGGTTGAGGATACTGAGCTGGCCAGAATCAGAGGAAAGGAAAAGATTGTTGGTAACTTTGAGAAGAGCTGTTTTGGCACTGTGTTTTGGATGTAAACTGGACTGGAATGGTTCAAACAAGCTATTGGATTTGAGGTGGGTCTGAAGTTGATCAGCTATGACTCGCTTTAAAATTTTAGACAGAAAGGGAAGATTGGATATAGGCCGGAAATTTATGAAGTTTTCAGGGTCAAGACCATGTTTTTTTTTAGTATTGGGGTGATGTCTGCCAACTTGAGAGACTGTGGAACAGATCCAGAAATAAGTGAGGAGTTGATTTTTGTAATCAGAAAAGAGACAATGGGGAGACAACTTTTGATGAGAGGAGAGAGAATGGGATCCAAAGAGCAGGTGGTAGTTTTGATACCAGACAAGTTTAGTCAGCTGAGCAGAGGAGATTGGTGTGAAGTGTGAGAGCAACAACTAAAAGAACATGCTCAAAACATCTATTAGAAAATTACTCTAGAAGAAAGTTAGCTTAGGTTATTTTAGCAGCGTGCGAATGAGGAAGAGGCATCATGGGAAGATTATCACTGATTTCTGTAATCAGAACAAACCAAATTCACCTGAGTAGGGAACATAAAACGATATTATCAGTCGCCAGCAGAGGGAGACCATGTAATGGTTAACAAGCTTTATGTAAAAACTTTGTTAAAGACAGATGACAGTTCATCCTAAGGCCCTGACATCCTGAAATGTATTTATTTTATTTTATTTTATTGATAGTTAAAGACAGGTTTTGTATATGTTGATCAAAACCTGATAAGTTGCGTTTCATGATGATGTATGGGGAAAAAAGTTACTTGATTTGCATCAAACCTTCTTTTATTTCTCTTAGATGGAGTACAGTTCAAATGCACTCAGATGGATTGTGGACACTTTAGCACAAAGCAGCACAATGAAACCTCCCCGACCTCCACCTGCATCAAAAGGTAAACTTCTATGGCTATGACTGCACGATGCAGTAAATGACCTTGTTTGTCCTGTAACTATAGGGATGCACCGATCTACTTTTTTCACTTCTGATACCGATATCTGAGGTTTCGTATTGGTCGATATCGATTCAATACCGATCTGATACAGAAAAACAGTGCTGAATTTACTTAATTTTTGTAAACGCAGACATAAATGTATTGAATTACAAATTTATTGAAAACTGCACCGTACAGCACATTTGAACACATCAAAAGATTCACAAGCTTAGTCAAACATGGAAAAACAACACAACTTTAATTTGTTCAGTCACTGCAATTATGAGTATAACATCAAATGTAAAATAAATAATAATAATAAAGATACTGAAACTGACAAAAACAATAGGTGGACAACTTTGGTCAAACATGAAAAAATAAACTTCAAATCTTTCAAATGGTTCAGGAATTCTAAATATAATGTAGAATAAATAATAAAGGAGCTGAAATAAGAGAAATAAACTTAATAATAAATAAATAATAAATAAAGCTTCACTAGCTTGGTTGACAGGTATTTAAAATAAACAGCAATCAGCTTCTGTCCTTATGGATTGGTCACATGGTTACGACGGAGCTTTAGGGCCACGCTAAGAACAACAAAAACAAAAAAATTGAAGCCATAAAATTGTGAGAATAAAGTCGAATAAAATCAATATTACGATAATAACCAATCCGAAGCTAAATGCTCCTTGCTTGCAGAGAGCTGCACCTTGACGCTGATGTGCTAACAGATGAACTATCTCCTTATTTGTAAAACCAATACCAAAGTATAACTTAACAAGATGCTCAACATTCTTCATTTTACAACAGTTAAAATGCGGTAAACCCTGCTTTATGTGTCTGAGTTCAGATAATATTACGACTCATTTAGCTTTGGATTGGTCATTTGCTGACACGCCTACTGGGTTCATTGATAGGTTGCGTTGTGGATCCAACTCGTGGGAAAAACAAACAAACACGAGAGCTGCAAAAGACTCCTACGACTTTATTCTTGCAATATTAAGACTTTATTCAACTTTATTCTCATAATACTATGACTTTATTCTCGTAATTTTATGGCTTTTAATTAGTTTTTTTCCTAAGACTGGCCCTAAAGCTCCGTTGTACATTGTCACCGATACTCAATCAAGAATTTTTGCCGATATCTGTACCGATACCAATATCATATCGGTGCATCTCTACGGATACCTGATCAAGAATTTCCCCCCGATATCAGTACCAATACTAATACTGATATTGGTTCGGTGCATCTCTACCAGTTACTAAATGCTTTGAGGTGTTTCTCCAGCAAAAATCCCTAATCACACCGTAATCTTTGTTTCTCCGTTCCTTTCCACACAGATGTCCTCTCCACACCTTCCAGTTCATCTTGATGATGCCTTTGGGTTAATATTGAGGCACATCCCCAGCTTTTCTAGAACCCACCAACAGGTCATACTGGTTTCTAGTTTTGAAGTTTACAACCAAGTCTTAATTCAGAACTAATGTTCAGTCACTTTGAAAACTCTGACAGTATTTTGTAAAAGGAACCTTGTTCAGATGCAACAAAAAGCAACTGCTGTATAAAACTTTTGTAATTCAGGTGCCAGTTCACTGTATTTTAGTGCTGTAGTTTTAAAATGAGTACTTGAAAATATTAAATACATTAAAAATGAATTAATATTCTTTACAATGTGGTACATCTTTTTGTATAGTTAATTTATATTCTTGCAAACTAGTTGTTTACATTCTGGTACATTAAATGTACATTATGCTGCTTCTGTTTAGTAAAGCCTAAGAGAATATATCTATATTTGTTATTATTCTAAAGAGAATAAAAATTGGTGCAAAGTTTTTTACACAAATTTGATTGCTAATTGTCACAAACTCTTTAACTTGACTCTCCTATCTTGTTTCTGGTCAATTTTAACTGTAAATTACTTTAAAATAAACTTTTGACAATGACACATTAAACTTTAAATGAGTTTATTAAAATGAGCTTGTTTTTTTTTTCTTTATGGTTAGCCAAGTTAAATGTTTATCTACAAAGTACTTCTTTAATTTAACTTCTGATGTAAAGGCAAATTAGTGAACACAAGACTGCTTCTTTATTGTGTGCTAGTTTCTTTTGAAACATACCTTACATTTAGATGGATGCCAAACAAGAATGCAGAAGATGTAAATTGATTTTGACACTCACCAAATGGTAATAAGAAGACTAAGCCTGAGAAAGAAGGATGCTGATCTTTAAAAGATAAATGAACAGTGGGCGCTCATGAGCAAAAACATTAGTGGGACGGACAATTTCCTGCATCACCAGCTGCACAAGGTTGTATAAATTGTTACATTTTCTTCATAAATAAATAAATGGATATATGCTTAATATTGGGGCGGCACGGTTACTCAGTTGGTAGAGCTGTTGCCTCTCAGCGAGAAGATCGCTGGTTCAAATCCTGGCCCGGGACCTTTCTGGGTGGAGTTTGCATGTTCTCGTCGTAAAGGCTGATTGGTAACTCTAAACTGTGAGTTAGAATGTGAATGTTTGTCTCTATCTGTCCCTGTGATGGACTGGAGACCTGTCCAGGTGTCCCCCGCCTCACACACTGCTGGATATGAACACCAGTGACCCCCGTGACCTGAAATGGAAGAAATGGGTAAAAGATGGTGGATGGAAGCTTAATATTGAATTGTGTGTGTTTCGCCTCGTTTCTCCCTCCATCAGGTCGAGGTTGTGTCCGATGATAATCGGAAGAACGTCAATAATTACTGACAATTGACTAATAAGTCAGATAAATGGAGACCACACACACCCAAGCCACAGAACTGTTTAAATAAGGTCCCACCATGTTGGTGGAAATTTCCTGTTTTTTGACTTTCTTTTGTTTTTCCTCAGTTTTCTGTTCTTGTCCTCTCTGTCTGCTCCAAATGGATTTAAAAACAGAACATCTCCACAACACGGGTTTCGCTGCAGCTGTTACTGCGTTTGAGCTCACATCAGGTCAAGTGTTGGAGGTCATGCAGTATTAATGCGCTACAACCAGCCGAATGTGTCTGAAGGGCATAAAATCAGACGCACTAAATGAAACTATTGGACCTGCACGTTCAGATCCGCTTGATGAACGCGGGTCGTTGAACGGTACTGCCACATAAAGGTAAATAACTAATAAACTGAGGATGAATTGCCAAAAGTAATTTTTAATTCCACTTAAAAATGTCAAAATAGTTGGAAAATACATGGAACAAAACAACACACAACGTTATTGCCACATTATTTGGAGGACTAATACTTCACCCCGCCTGCCCTCATGGACCGACCACTTGAAACGAAGCCGGTTCAGTAAGATTAAAGTAGTTTTTTAAATTCAATTAGTTTTTTTTTGTTGTTGTTAAATTTAAAACAAGGAAGTGAGCTGCATTTATCTAGTCAGCAGAGAAGTGTAGCAGATCATGCAAAAGGTGCACGGTGCTGGGTTTCACTGTGACATGACTACATGAAGGTCACATAGTGGAGCAAACACTGAAGGAGCCTTTACTAGAAATAGTTTGCCAGGCCACCTGTCGGCTGCAGACACCCTCCCTGCAAGCACATAACCATGGGGTCAGTGGATCTAAATATTTATCTCTGTTCACTGACGTCATTGTTTCAAAGACTGAATCTGACAAGAAAAGATTCTAAATAAATAAAAATCTGTGGAATGTGCTGCGTAACCATCTTCGTCACTGCTATTTATATCTTTGTTCAACATCATGACAGGCTCTCATCTGCTTTTGTTTGAGAAGATTACGTCTGGCCTGAGATCAGTTTACAACTAAACGTTCTTTCACTTTGATTTGTCTCACACGTCATTCTGGTTTTTATTCACATTAGATTGAATTAATTGCTCTAAGAGGTAATTAATTTTAGTTTTGATATTTTTTTATTTGATGCACTTGATCAATAACCTTAAAACTTGTTTTACCAACAACTTAAATTTTAAAATGGTGTTTTTTTGTTTGTTTGTTTTTAGAACACATTTATCCAATTGTTAATTGAATCGATATATTTTATCAAGTTTATTTCTTGTTGTTGCATTCAAGGTTAGCAAGACTTAAAACGAGCTGCAATAGCAGTTTTTAAAAATAATCTCATTAAACAGGATTTCGTTTGTACGTATTTGTGCATATTTACGCCATTTGTTTATAGCTTTAAGGAAAACTAAAAATGTGGAGCATAAAATTGGACTACACTGCAAATGGAACATAAAACAACCACAACTGGACCAGACTTGATGACGCGTATACACTTGGTATAGATAATTTATTTTTACTGCTTTTGATCCCTCCTTTAAAAAAATATATCATTTTCTTCCCCCCTTCCTAATGCACTAATCATGGCTACAAAAGTTACTCGTTACCTCAAAGTAAATCAAATCAAAATGTGTGTTATTAATTACTTCCTGCTTGCTCTCAGTGAAGACGGTCGCTTCACCCGCTCCTGCCTCCCTTCTGTATTTTGCTCTCTTGTCCTGTGAATCTTTTTCAGAGCCTCTCTCTACATATCTTCTGAATTGTAAATCATGGATTTGGTCAGCTGGTCTCTAAAAAAATGTTCTCGACGAGAAGACGGGGTGAAGGAGAGCCCTAATTCTGATAAGATGGTACAGTGTCCATCAGCGGCTCAATTCTGATAAGGCCCACAGATGTCCTCGGGAGAGGAGCAGCAAAGTGTCATTATTCATATAACTTATGGGAGAAATTTGAGATAGCTGGCCTATTCAAGACCAAGCGGGGAAGCCAGATTTGATAACAATTGTTTTGGGACAGGCCGACTCTGCTTGATTTATTTCATGTCTACCTTCAAAAGTTCTGCTGGTACTTCTCAATGGCGAATCAGAACAGCTAAATTTTGTGGTCATTCTGCCGGACCATGCTTGTAGCCTTCCCCAAGGTTGAATCCTTCATGTCAGCGAGTTCCAGAAGCCGCAAGCGGCCTGCGATTCTCAGAAAGCTCACAGAGCATCTGAGTCTGGGAACTAGAAGCATGGCACACAAATGTCCCTTCAGGGAACTATGGAACTTTCTGGCAGTGTCCACGGACAACTCACCGCCTTTGTTGACCTCCTCATGCATAAATGTATTATTGTAATGAGAGATAATATGCGTCTGATATTATCCATAATTTAAACGGATTCTTTCATTTTTCTGGACTGAGTACTATCATGCCTTGAATGATTAAATGTGGACGGAAACGTGTTTTAATTTTTGACCCACCACAACAGTGAGTCGTTTAATTAAAAACGATTTAAAACATATCACACATTTACATTAATTGGCAGATTGATTACAATAACACAGCTTAATTAATGAGCTTTGCACTGAGAAAATCATACGGCCATGATTTTCTCACTTGCAGCTTTTGAAACCAACAGACATTTCTGAAAATATCTGGATTAATTACTGGCAGATAGAAGAGTTTTAAAGATGAGGAATGAAGGAGTTTAAATGGAGAGAAAAGATGTGTGAGGGAAAATGTGTTGACGAAGAACGACACCCTCCATTCGAACCCAGCTCTACCTCGGTACACTTCGGTAGTGGAAATCGACTCTGTACCTTGCAGAAGATATCTCAGCTTCGGTGTAGAGTTCTCTTTCAGCGTTACCATTTCAGCGTCTCCGTAGGATAGCAGAGAACCGTCCGGAGTAGTGACGGTACTTCGTTCAACAGCACGCTCACCTCCCGGGTGGACTCACATGAGCTGTGAGCCCGTCAGAGTTCCACTCAGATGTGGAAGATTCCATAATCCCCACGAGACTCGAAAGAACTCCCAACTAACTCCAGCACTTCAGAACTTTCGTTCGGTTCTGCTCTCAGAACTTTGGTTCATGTCTCAGAACTTTGAACTGCTTGGAACTCTTGTTCTGCTTGGAACTAGGAAGTGTCGACCCTTTTAAAGAGGTCACTTCCGGTTCCTCTGAGAACTTCCTGATTGGTTGAAAGAACCAACAGGGGTGTGGTTTTAGTGACGTAAGGGGTTACTACAAGTCAGAAAAACAGCGAAGATGTTTTAGGAACAAACAGAAATGTTTAGGCGAAGTGACAGAAAGCAGGTGCCAGCTCCTCTGTTTCTGTCTGAGAGGTTTTAAAAACATGACAGTTCGTTCCAATAAACTTGTTTGCGACTGTCTCCGACTTTTGACCGACATCACAACTTCTCATTTCAGACAGAAGATCAAAAATGCATCATTACTTTGTGACAGGCATTTTAACTTGATTTCTACTTTGAATGAGGATTAAAAATCATTTATACTGTTTCACAGTTGATTTAAAATGAGTAGTTCACTTCAACATTTAAAAATGATTTGAACTAAACACACTTTGATTATCAAGATATTGTAAAATAGTAATGATAATGAAAAGAGAGTGTTCTTTCAATTGATCAGAGCAGGACACACTTAGAAAGTCTCTGGATGAGCTTAATTTGTATTTCTGGACTCAAATCAATGAAATAACAGTTTCTGTCCCAGGAAGGTCCAGGTTTTGACCTGAGGCTTAGTTCTCTACATTATGATGTCATTGTATGTTGCTGTTTATGTTGCAAGGTCTTTTTTTTTTTTTTGCAACTTTCATACTGTGCCCTGGCCAGGACATGGTGTGAGATATGATTTTTTTTTTTACTCCACCCTCTCGTTTTCTCTTTTCCTCATCTACTTTGTATGTCTGTCTGTAACAGGTCTCTCTTGTAAATGAGTCCTCAAGGCTCAATGGGAACTAACCTGTATAAATGAAGGTTGAATGAATTAAACCTTTCCCATTTCCATTCCCTCTCATTTCCATGCTTGACTGTCTTTACCACAACCTCCTACAGGTTCCCCCCCCCCCCCCCCCCCCCCCCCCCCCCCCCCCCCCCACACACACACACACTGATACTCAGGACTTCAGGAGTATTCTTCCCAGACATGTGCCTCTGTCACTCATGCACATACAGCTCCACAACTAAAGCACGCACACACGCACACACACAACTTTTCCACTGTGTTCTGAACTCTGGCACTGCTCTCTCTGTGTGGCTGCTGCAGTCTGGACCTGAACAGCTAACACTCAACAACTTGTAGCTTTTTATTTTTTCCTGGGGATTTTCATAGATTTTAAACACGTTGAACCAATCAGCAATTTCTTAAAAAAAAAAAAAAAAATTTAAAAGATAAAACGGTTGGAAGTTTTTGCTATTTGCTTGTTCAGGTCTTTCAGGATGGCCGCTGTGAGAGGCTGGGTGGTGGCGCTCCTGCTGGTGCTCCTCTGCCCACCGCAGGTTTCACCTTCGGCTGTGGTGAGCGCCCAGGATGTGACCGAAGCAGGCGAAGACCTCCACGCCAGACACGCTGGAGAGGCTGAAGATGATGAGGGTGTTGAAGACACAGAGGAAGAGGAAGATATAGTAGAGGAGGAGGAAAGTGAAGCAGAAAATGATGAAGAGGACGATAAAGAAGAGGAGGACCAAGAGGTTTCTGATGTTCAAGAAGAAGAGGAAGCAGAGGAAGATGAGGATTTTGATGATGAGGAGGAAGATAATGAAGCTACAGAAGACACAGCTGATGATGGTGACACTGAGGAAGAGGATGGGGCTGCAGAGGAAGAGGAGGCTGGTGAGGAAGAGGCGGCTTCTGATGATGAGAAGGAAGAGGCTGGTGATGATGCTGAGGAGGAGGAGAATGAGGATTCTGAAGAAGAGTCCATAACAAACAATGAGGAGGAAGAGGAGGCAGAAGATCACCCTGCTGACGAAGAAGAAGGTGAATTTAATATTTAAACAATTGTGCTTTAGAAATATTAAAGTGCTGAATCAGGCATTCGTTTACTGTAAACAGTGATGAGAAACTCCTGATCGTTGGTCATTTTAATGGATCTAAAATGTCCAGCAGCCCTCGCTGACAGTTTGACTCACGAGAGCTACTTTAGGAACACCGTCACACATTTCAGTTCAGAAATAGAGCAGCTTATCTGTGTGGCACAAATAAGATCTAAATGAATCTTTGTTCAGCCAACGTAACTTATAAGATGCTCAACAGGTCCTGCCATTAAAGTGTCTGAAGTCAGAATTTAAACAGATATAATAATAACAATGACAGTCATGCAAAAGTTAATACATTCAGGTTTTTGTCACCGTGACAAAATGTGATATTTTTCCCTCCTGGGGCAGAAGGTAGTAGACCAGCAGCTTCCATTGCACCCATTTCACACAATCACTGTTTATGTAAAGTGGTGCAGGATCACTTTTGTCCCTTCATCCACAGCTTTATCCTTGATTGCCTTCAGACCACCTCTCTGCCAGCCCCTGGACCTTCTCCCTGTGTGCTGACTCTCCTGTAATATGCCTCATAACTGTGGTTTTATCCACAAATGTGTTGGTGATGTTACTGGGAATGCAGTCACAGGTGTACAGTTCATACAGGAAAGGACAGCAGCCCTTGAGAGAGCTCAGGGTGGTGGAGCCCAGAGAGCCCACCTTCTGCTTGTGGGCAGTCTGAGGATATTCTTGATCCAAGTGCAGGTGGAAGAGGCAAAGTCCAGGTCCTTCTCATTTTCATAAAGTATGTTCATATTTCTGTTAAAAGCTGAACTGTAGATAATGAAAATCATCCTGTCTAAGGCAGTAAAGCTTCATCTGTTGATTTTCTGTCCATCCAGTGGGGAGCAGGCCTTCATGTGGAGCATGACAAGCCTCTTAGAAACATGCTGCCAAAAATCTGATGCTGAAATTAAAACTGCTGGTATTTCAACCCTAAATATTGTTTTTGTAAACAAAAACCAGTGTTTTACTCATTTTGCTGCTTTAGCTGAGTTGCGACCTTCTGCTCGTCTTACCAACCAGGCCATCCATCCACTTTTCCACAAGCTTAGCAGATTTTTAGCTACTAGTGAACTAATCACAAACAATTTAACTACAATGCCTGGACATGCTTAATGCAGATAAGTGCAACATAATGTCATCCATCTTGAAACAGTGAATACATTTTTCCATTTTCTTGGCTTTAGATGAAGTTGACAACAAACCAGAACACCTAGCTGACAAACATGAAGAGGAGGAAACTACAGACATGCAGCAATTCCACTCGGGCTCCTTGTGTAGCGTTTGCTCCATATGTGAGGTACAAGCATGATTTCAATGTTCCAAAGTGTTGCAATCAGTCTGATAGCAAATGAAGCATTAATCTGAAGTGTTTTACTTCTAGCATTGCTCTGAAAACTGTGCTAAATGTCCCTGTGAGGACGGAGATGAGTTGGACCACTGTGAGCACTGTGAGGTAAGTTTCTTCATCCTCTAAAACGCAGTTATAATTAGAGAAATTACATTTCCTGTGAAAATACAAGGTGAATGCTTACTGCAGAAAAACTTTCTGAAAACAGCTGAAATGAGCTAAAAACATGCTGAAAAGTGGCTGAAATGGAAGAACAAGCCAAAATTAGCAGAATAAAGCAGAAAGAACGTATTTGCTGAATTAGGTTTAAATAAGCAGAAATAAGCATAACAATTAGGAAATTAGCTAAAGAAAGCTGAAATTAGCTAAATATAGCTGAAAAATAGCTGAAAGGCAGAAAGAAGCTTAAACTACCAGCAGGAAGCAGAAATAACTGAAATAAGCTTAAAAAAATGTGGGATTTAATGAAAAAGCTAAAATTAACAAAAAATAGCTAAATAGTAGCTGAAATATCTGAAACTTGCAGAAATAAGCTGAAAGGAGCACAATAAGCTGACCTTAGCAGAAAGAAGTTAGTCAGAAAGTAGCAGATTACCATGAAAAACTAGAATTTTTCTGAAAACAGCTAAAATTGGCTAAGAAGGTAGCTGAAAAAGTAGAACAAGTCTAAATTACCATAAGAAAGTAGAAAAAACATTTTTGCCCAATTAGCCTGAAAGAGCATAAAAAGTGGCAATTATCTGAAAAAAAGGAAATTAGAAAAAAAAAAAAAAAACAGCTGAAAAGTAGCTTAAAAGCAGAAAGAACCAGAAGGAAGTAGAGAGAGCACATTTTTACTGAATTAGGCTGAAAAAAGTTTAAATGAGTGCAAAAAATGTGGAATTAGATGAAAAATCTGAAATTAGAATAAAACAGCTAAATAGTAGCTGAAATAGCAGAAAAAGATGAAACTTGCATAAATAAGCTGAAAAGAGCACAAAAAGCTGAAATTAGCAGAAAAAAGTTTCAATTTGCACAAGGAAGCTGAAAGAAGCTAAACCGGAACAAAATGTGAAAAGAGCAGTAAAAGTTTGTGAACAGATCTAAAGATTTGAAGGATGGAAAATGAGTTCAATTAATTTTCCATGAGAAAAAAAAAATGTCAGGAAACTCTAAATATTCCAAAAAGCTAAAGTTGCACCAATACCAAAAGTCATAGCAGGGTTGTCCTGAAAAAAGCTGAACATTTTGATATGATTTGTTGAAATAGCTTAAAAATTGTTGTACGAGAAAGATGCATAAAAACGTATGGAAGAAAAATGGATCACAATACTGTCACACAATGAAGGACTAGCATTCATTGAAGGAATGCATATCACCCGCTGCCTTTCATGGCTAAGGTTTAAATTATAATCATCTTATTTTGAAAAATTATGGAGTTGTAGCTGTTTTGCTCAAACTTTGAAAATGACTTTTGCCTACGACTGATCTCATGAGATGCCAAACTCGGAGTATGCGTAATGAAATATTAATATCTCCTAAATTAAATGGACTGGCACATTTTTGTGTTGGCTAATGTACATTAGCTGTAATGGTCATTTTTATTTAAAGTGACTCCAAAACTCATACTCATACATATACAGACACAAGCAACAACACATTTGTCTTGAAATTTTGACAGACGGCAAATATTGGAGTGATATTTATTTAACAACAACCATTTTAATGTTTTTTTTTTTTTCAGAGCTGCTCATCATGTTACATTTGCCCCATACTGTGTGATACAGTTTGCACACCAGGTATTGTTACTGCATATGATGACAACAGTTACTGTGCATGTAATCTTGTTTGCTGTTTTATTATAAATATCTGTTTTAACCTTTCCTCAGGTGGCCTTGTAGATGAAATAACAAGATCCCTATTTCAGTGAGATTTCCCTACAACACAACAAATGTAACTTTCAAGAGCTCATATAACATTATGATTTAATGCCATGTTTTTGTCTTGTTTTGCAGAACTGTTGCTTCTTTACTCTGAGCCCGCTGGGAATTGTCACTTTACGCTAAATGATAAAATATGAAGCTGCTCTCAGGTCAGCAGCACAAGGACTTCACATTGACGAGACCTCGCCCTGAGTCATTTCTTGTGTTTTAAGAATTGTCTCATTAATACTTATTTATCCTCAGATGTCAGTTTTGCAGGGTTTAATATAATTTTATGAGTTTCATTGTAAACAGCTACAATAATTACTTTAATGTAGCAAGAATTTGAATTGATGAGTCAGAAAGATTGAAGACGATTTAAGCAAATGTCCAAAATGTCATGCAGCATCTCTGATTATGCTAAATTTAGAGTACAAAGTCACATTAACGCTGTACACAATAATAACAGGCTTTGATCTGAAAATAAATGTGATCATTTCTAAAAATGTGTAAGATTGTAGATCTGCATGTGACGAGCAGAAATTAAAATCAAACCTTTCAGCTGATAGGATGCAGACTTGCTGTAATAAATGATGGGGTCTGTTTTCTAAATCAGTAACTTGTTGAAGCATCTAGTAACATTTTTTAAGTTTCTCATGTAACAGAACAACTGTGTAAAAGGTATTAGAGAAACTAAAGGAAACATTTGCAGTCATTGGATTTGTTCAATGAAGGTAGATGAGGATGCACAGCAGAAAATAATACCAACAATTTAACTAGTCATGTTTTGAACTTCAAGAGTAATGACAGTAATACTTCAAGTTCAAGTATTACCGTTAGGCACAATGTTTATAAATGTGTTAACACTAAATGCATATAACTGCATTATATTTTGATTTAATTGTCTTTTAATCTTTTTTTTTTTTTTTTTAATCAGCTAATTGTGTCTCCGACATTTTCTCTAATTGTTTTGCTCAGTAGTAAAAGTTCCAGTGACACTGTGGGCCCAAATTTGTGGAAAAAAAACACAAAATAAAAAAGGGCAACATGCTATTTCAAAATTAGGCTAATTTAGTATAATCTAAACTAGGGGTTCTCAAACTTTTTGGGTTCAGGGACCCCCTACAGGGGAGAACACGTTTCAGGGACCCCCTCATAACCCTCATGTTTATTAAATAATTTCTTCAATTTGTCTCTTTAATGCAGTGGAAATATTTGTGTAACATAAATACTTAAGACTTGTTCTTTAACAGGGTTAATACAATTTTTATACTTTTAAACATGGAGTATTTGTCATTCAAGATACTTAATTAACAAAAATTTTAATTTCAACTTCCAAAAATTACAGTTTTGAGAAAATTAACAGCATCAAAAACCACTTTAAAACTTTACCTTTTCACATAATGAACATAATAAATGTATTACCACTTCTTTAAATTATTACATAAAACATTTTACATAAAACTGAACAGAATCACAACAGCAGCAGTCACAAGTAACAAGGCTTCATTTGTGAACCGATCGATGCCAGAATGCAAATAGCAAGCGGAGGGTCTGGGAGTCCTCCCCCAGAAAATTTTGAATAAAGTAGATGTGATTTCCTGCATTTTGGTATATTTTAATGGGTTGTTAAACATCTAAGTGCCTGTAAAAGGAAAGATAAAAAAAAACCCATTAAAATTTTTATTTATTAATTTATTTAATTTTTAAAGACCCCACCCAAGCACTGGCTCACAGACCCCCGGGGGTCTGGGGACCCCAGTGTGGGAACCACTGATCTGAACAGCTCCTTCTTTTAATAACTTATTCAAAGCCTGATAGCTTCAGTGGTAGTTTGGGAAAATATTTCTAAATAGAAATACTTTGTATTTGCAGTTTAGCTGCTGTTAATGATAAAAACAATAAGAGGTCCTGAAGTCTCCCCCCACCCCCACCCCCACCCCATCCAATTCTACTTAACTACTATACGTAATATCATAAAATTTTACAAAACAAGGGTAAAACCTTAATATATTTTCAAAACAAACCCCTAAATGTTTCTGTGATCTCAGAGATTCTGCAGTAGGTCGGAAAATAACAACTTTTAACGGGAACCTTCATCAGAGCAAAGCTCGTGGAAATCAGTGTTTTGTGTCAAGGAACAACAAAGTTGTTTTTGTTGTTTGCGACTTGAGAGAAAAACGAAAAGATGAAATCATCCGAGCGTGTCCGTGACTCAACACACAACAGAGTCAGGTCAGTGTGACGGAAAACCAGACAAGACGGGTGAAATTCAGAGCGAGAAAAATATTTATGTTAGAGGGTGTTTGCTGAGGTGCCTCTCCAAAATTAATAAAATGCAATTTTATAACATCCAGCATGCGTTCCCTTTTCTTAATGTCTCCTATCTGTTCCTTTCTGACCTGTATGCTAGTTCAAGATTTTGGTTTTTATTGCCTTTATTTAGCAAAGGACAAACACAACAAAGACCAATGAGGTGTGATGACGACACGAGGACAGAAAGAACCGGTTCATTAGACACTGATGTCTCTACAAACAAAAGAACAATTACATTAAACAAAACCAGGTAATAATCATGCTGGGGCTATTAAGATTAAGATTAAAGTCTTAGACTGGCTGTGCCAAAGGTTTGGGTTTTAGACCTATCATGTGTTGTTTGCAACCACATGCTTTTGGTATTTATGTCGTTTAGCCATAGGGTGTTCGTGAGAAAAACTTGATCCCTTTGAGGGCAACAAGAAAGGAAATATAAAACAACAATGGTTTATTTTTTATTCTCAGGGTTCAAAAGTTCAGTCGAGACGTTCCTGTCGTGCAGAAAGTTACAGTATGTCATTCTGATAAAGTGCCAATATTTGCTGGGCTTGCTTCCACATTCTGAATTAATTTGTCATCATCAGGGCAGAATGAGATGCAGGACACATCCACTGCTCCATTTTCCAAGATGTAGCACAGAGGAATGTTCAATTCTTTTGGCATACAACCCTGTGCCACACACGTGTGCATACATGTACTGAACAACTGTATAAACCCAACGTTTTTGTTGTTGCTACAGTTTTTCCTGAGCTGAACTCAAAGATCTTGGACTTTTTCTGTGCACACAAAAGGCCTTTTTCCTCTCTGTTGTTCAGAAATTTGTGTAAATCTGTTAGTGAGCTCTTCTCCATTGCCAAGACAATTCATCAGCATTCAAAATGCCATCCATAAAATGTGCTCTTGTTTGTTGTTCATAACACCTGCCCATACCAGAACCGCTGCCATCATGGGTCACTCGATTCACAACTTTGACGTCAACAAACCGCTCGCCCACACAACGCCATACATGCAGTCTGCCATCTGCCCCGTACAGTGAAAACCAGGATTCATCCATGAAGCGAACGCCCCCTCAACATGTCATACACCATCAAATGTGAGCATTTGCCCAATGACGACAACAAACTGCAGTCAGGTGGAGACCCCAGTGAGGACAACAAGCATGCAGGTGAGCGTCCCTGACATAGTTTCTGACAGTTTGCACAGAAATATTTTGGTTATGCAAACTGATTGCTGCAGCAGCTGTCCGAGTGGCTGGGCTCAGATAATTTTGGAGGTGAAGATGCTGGATGGAAAAGTCCTGGGCTGGTGTTATACAAAGTACATGGTCTGCAATTGTGAAGCCAGTTGGATGTATTGCCAAATTGTCTGAAACATCTTTGGAGATGGCTTATGGTAGAAAAGTGGTTCCCAACCCTGATCCTTGAGGAAAACTATCCTGCATGTTCTAGTTTTTTCTGCTCAAACATACTCGATTCAGTGATTTAATGACTTTAAGTGCTATGGAAGCCTGTTAATCACCCATTCATTCAAATTAGATGTGTCAAAGCAAAAAAAAACAAAAAAAAAAACATGCAGGATAGTGTTCCTCTAGGACCAGGGTTGGGAAGCACTGTGAGAGAAGTTAATATTCAGTTCAAAGCCAAGAGCTCTGGTGGACATTCCTGCAATCAGCATGCCAACTGCACACTCCCTCAAAATTTGCAACATCTGTGGCATTGTGCTGTGTGATAAAACTGCACGTTATTTTTTAGAGTGGCATTTTATTGTGGTCAGCCAAAGGCACACCTGTGCATATATCATGCTGTCTAATCAGCATCTTGATCTGCCACACCTGTGAGGTGGATGGATGATCTCAGCAAAGAAGTACTCAGTAAAACAGATTTACACAAAATTGTGATAGATATTCAAGAGAAAAGAGCTTTTTGTGTGCATAGAATAAATCAGATCTGAGATCAGCGCATGAAAAACGAGACCAAAAGCAAAGGTATTGTGTTTTTGTTCAATGTAATTGAAAAGACAGATTATCTTGTAATCTTTTGAACTAGGCCCAGGCTATCTAAAAGTCTTTCAAACGTTTTCTTAAATGTTAGCTGATTTTTGACAAATTTTCATTCCAGTAGCTGGCCATTTTCAGAAGAATGTTCATTTGTAAGGCCACCTGTGAACCGTTCAGGCATATAAGGCTTCTAAACCCAGTGGGCAAATCAGTATTTTAAACAAAATGAACAAATGACCAAATTTAAATGAGATCTTCAGGCACTTTGATAACAGTCTGTGAGAAGGAAACAGTTTATTCCTGTTCTTTATTCAATCTATAATAGCTAATAGTTTAATACATAAAATTGTATTTTGGTGACAACAAAATGAATCCCAAAGAGGTTTCAGCTGAAAACTGGTCAGCTGATGATGATGCATCCTTCAGGTTCTGTTTTTTTTTTTTTTTTTTTAAACCTGTAGATATGGGTTTTAGGCTTGGCATCTTTTTTTATATCATCCACTTGTTTACACTCTTTATTTAATTAAGCATATACTGCACAAATACAATGTTGTGGTCAGGTGCAAGGATTGGACAAAGGAACTAGTACAAAAAAAATTGTCAATAAAAAGACAAGGTTCAGTAAAATAAAAAAATGTTCAGAAAGTCTAGAACACAAGCTCAAAACTATAAAATAGTACAAGAAGGTCTGGGGAATCCATTTACCTCTTTGAATGAGAATCAAAGTTTCTTCAAGATTTGAAAAAGAACTTCAAATACCTTCAATTCAAATCTCCAGAAAGACGCTCCATAGTTTTGACATTATGATCAATTAAATCTGGATTGCTTTTGCTTTTAATGCCTCTATTTAGATGACAATTTGACGTGTCTCCTCCATCGTTGTTTTGTTGATGTATACACAGAGGGGGCTCCACCCAGAGCAGAACCCTCTGAAGATATAAAACCACCATGAAATAAACTGGGGCACCTCTTTTACTCCTACATCTGGAAATGAACATTTGTTTTCAAGGTGACGCCAGAATTTAACAATTTATTCTTGAAGCCTTGATGATTTAAGACTTGGACATTAAGGTGGGTAAAGCAAAAACATAGAAATCCCCAAATGATTAATGATGATTTAATTATTATTAATTATTATAAAAGACTCATGATATCCCTGTTCAAACTTTAGGGATTAAGTTTTTTTTTCCTCTTCTTGCAGATGTATCTCCTCTTGCTGGCACGATTTCTGAGTTTGGTGTCTTTGGTAAAATGCTGTGAGTAAATATGGCTGTTTTATGATTATTCTGTATTTGTTCATGCTTCCTTCTTTTATTAGACAGGCATGCACTGTAATTATATAAAGACATCCAGAATGTCATGTTGATTCCACTTTCAAAAGCATTTTATTTATGGTAATAAAAATAATTCTGTTTATATTTACAATATTTTTCTTCCAGCTAACTGGTGCTACACAGGCTGCAGTAAGTAAAGGATGCCAGACACTGATGAGAAAATCTGGATAATATTAATTCTTATAAATACAGATTTTCCACACTGATAACCTCTTTGTTTCTCACAGAGGAAACCCCATCCCATTGGAAAGATGTGTCTGGATCCAGCTGTGGAGGACAACACCAGTCTCCCATTGATATTGACACCAGCAGTGTTAAAACTGACTCGATGCTGAATAATTTCACCTTCGTCAACTTCTCCTCTCAGCACGCCATCAAGTGGATCACAAACAACGGACATTCAGGTACATGATCTGCAGCAAAAATCCTGACAACAAAAGATTGTCTTTTTCTTAAACAAACATGTGTTTATGTAGATTTTTTGCTATTACTTGCATTTTATAGTGCAATGCACACTGATGGACAATGAAGTTGAAGTGAGTGGAGGGGGTCTAAATGGAACATACTCTGCAGTGCAGTTTCACTTTCACTGGGGTGATAAAGAATATCATCCAGGTTCAGAGCACACTGTTGATGGCCACAGATATCAAATGGAGGTAAACCACTGTGACATCACTTAACATGGCTGTTTTAGTTCTAAATGTGCCTTAAAATGGTCTTTGCTTTTTTATGTAATCTTTTACAGATGCACATTGTCACTTTAAAGAAAGGTGTTGCTGCAGAGGAGGCCAAAACCCAGTCTGAGGGATTTGCTGTTCTTGGATTTTTCATAAACGTACATGGTGAACTTTTACCTAAATGTTCTTTTTTTTTTTTTTTTTTTTAAATTGAGAAGTGCTACGTTAGAAGTGTTGGGCTTTATTTAAAATGTTTCCTGAAAGGGTCTTTATTGATGTAAGAAACAAATAATTCTCATGTGTTTTTTATATTCTTCAAGGCAACAGAAGATGGAGATTTGTCAGGACCGTGGCACACGCTCACGTCGAACCTAAAAAACATCTCGGGTAAATTTATTTATTTATTTTATTAACCAACGTGTTAGGGAAAAGTGAAAGTTTTTATTTATGCTGATGCCAAATGTCAATCGCTCTACCTTTTTTCTTCAAAACCCTTGAAAGATTTATGACTTTTGAAACTTGTAACACTTGAGTCAAATAAATAAAAAGTTAAATAAATCTCATGCTACAAGGGACATTTAGCGACAGCAGTTTTTGAAAATCACTTGTCAGATTTTTACATCTGTGCACAGACTGGTGTGATCAGCTTCCTGCAACTTTAGGAACTTTTCTATTTTACTGTATATTGTACGTAATGATTTGTTCATGGGCAGGTCATGGACTGTTTTAGTTGTTAGACAAACTGGGAGAAACTGGGAGAAACTAAGACTCGCAGGTTAACAAAAAAGATTTGGATATTGACACCTGGTATTCTTTTACTCTCTGTCTGTTAATATTTAAATTTTCTGTCTTCTCCAATTAATCTGTTTTGAGCAATTTAAAGTGAATTGTCCCCAAAGAAATAGGCCACAGTAAAGACTAGAGTCAGTTGGACAAGTCAAATTTTCAATCCAAGTGCTTGATAAACCAAGTCCTCAATCAAACCTTTGTGTCTCCTGGTCATCATTTCACTCATTTGATTTTATTGAATTTATTTTCCAGAGAGTGGCGGTAATGTTGCAGTGAACTTCAACTTCTCTATCAATGACTTGATTAGAAACGTAGACCGGACAAAGTTCTATCGCCACTACGGCTCACTAACAACCCCTGACTGTAAGGAAGCTGTTGTGTGGACACTCTTTCATGAGCCAATCCAAGTCCACAAAGATCTGGTGAGTGTACAGTAAAGCAAAAGGTAAGGTGGTGGTGAGTCAACATGTAGCACATGAGAGTCAATATATCACAACTTGGAGTGAATGCATTGGAAATATTTTCAAAGTTAATCAGCTAGATTAAGATTAGTGACGAAATGTTAAACAGGAAACTGCAGTCAGTCCATCACGTCTGTATTTTAGCCTCTCTTTGTCATTCCAAGCAACTGAAGCAGTAATGTGAGCACAATCTCCTTTATCCAGTTTGCTACATTCAGGTAAGTGTCATCAAATACTACAGACCTGTCATACAAGCAGAAATACTGGTACCTGCTAATCTGCTTTGATATTTGTGCTTCAGACTTATTTTACCTTCTGTTAACCGTACCAACATGCAAACTTGTCAAACAAGTCACTTGCAGCCCTGAAAATTATAGACATTTTGATTTTGCAGAATAACTCTTTTTGGTCTTATCTATTTGCAAAACAACAGGGCTGTCTGTGGCTTACGAGTTGCACATGAGTCAGTGCACATGGCAGTTTTCATGGCTGTTTTGCTGCTCAGCAGGTACATGTCTAAGTATGTTGAACTCTTCAAGAACAAGTGTGCATTTTCTTTGAAGAGGATTATTCATGTTCCCAGATTACTTTTGTTCTGATCTGATGAAGAAATATGCACCTACAGAGGGCATTGAATTACTTTACTGTCATTGGTGCGGGCTGGTCCTTTAAACCTATCAATACATGTAACCATTATGGTTTTGTTGATATACCATACCACTTTATTTATAAAGCACTTAAAAACAGCAACAAGGCCAACCAAGGTGTTGTGCAGCAAAAAGAAACAAGCAAAAGGCATAGCAAAAAATACATGGATCCAAAAATGTAAAGAAAAGAACAATTATTAACAATATAGAATACAAATAAGTTAAAATCAACTCTGTATCAAAAGTCGGGGAATAAAAATGAGTTTTAAACGTGACTTTAAAACTGTAAGCGAGGGAGCCTGCCTGACACGCAGTAGTAAATCATTCCACAGTTTTGGACCTGCAACAGAGAAGGACCTGTCACCTCTGAGCTTAAAACCAGTGCCTAGAACCAATAAAAGCATCTGGTCTGTTGACCTCAGAGTGCTGTGGGACAAATGGCTGCAGCTGATCAGCAATATATGAGGGGACAGAACTGTTCATAAATAAAAAAAAAACATACAGAAGTATTTTACAATGAATTCTAAAGTGGACCGTGAGCCAGTGAAAGGAGGCCAGAACTGGAGTAATAAGATATTTTTCCTGTACCAGTTAAAAATCAGGTTGCTGCATTTTGAACCAGTTGTAAATGTGTAATAGAGCTCTGACTGATTCCAAAAAGAATTGCATTGCAGTCATCAAGCCTGGATGTTATGAAAGCATGTTTTACTGTCTCAAGGTTACTTCTGGACAGTATGGGCTTGACTTTAGACAGTCTCCTCGATTGTTAAATCCTGTTTTTTTTTTTTTTTTTTCCCCAATCATGTTTACATGGCTGTTTAGTTTCATGGAAAGGTCCATTTTTAATCCCAGATTAGTGACAACTTATTTCTCTAACCAGGCTAGAGAGGTAAAGTCGATACAATAGTTCTTTATTGTGCCATTAGGTAGAAACATGACTTCTGTCTTCTTCTCATTAAAGTTTAAGAAATTTAAAGCCCCCCTTGATGTCAACCAGGCAGTCAAGAAGAGGTTGGATAGACCGTGCACTAGTGTGATTCAGTGGGAAGTAAATTTGATAGTCATTGGCGTAAAAATGAAAGGGCATGCCGTGTTTACAAAAAATAGTACCTAGTGGCAGCAGGTATAAAGAAAAGAGGTCTGAGGATGGATCCATGCGGTACCCCTCACCGAAGAGCAGTAGATGTTGAAATAAAATCAGGATTGATCAGGAGTGATGCAGGAAACTTTTGTTTTGTTCTCAGGTTTATCTTTTCCCTATGGCCACAAACCTCATGAACAACTATCGACCTGTAGAACCACTCAATGGACGTCGGGTCACTGCCTCTCCTGAAACTCCTCTACCTCCCAGTGAGTTGGAAAAACATGCAGACATTTATTTTTCTGTTCAGAAGTTTACAAATACAAGTCGGTGACATGGATGTCAAAACAGACCAAACAAGAAAAAATAGTTTTGAGCTGCTCTTTAAGGTAAAAAGGCAAGCTTATTATCTTTTTAGTAACAGGCAAAAAAATTGGATTTATCCATTTTAAATGGTGAGCAGTGTATTCATTAATCATGAATTTTGTTATCAATGTGCCTGATAAAACACATTTAAAAATGCATAAAACTAAATTGTGTATATTGTATATTATGTCTGACAAATGCATAGAAACATCCAACTGTAAATGTGTATGAACCTAAAGTTTTAAATATGGATTAACACATTAAACACTTGTCTCATTTTTAGAATATCACTGGTGCTATGATAGTCACTGTGGTGCGTATTCTTTAACTTCTTCACATTTAAAGTTGTTAACTTGAGAGTTTTACTGTGATAGTGATGGAAAGAATTGTCATGGAAACCGGTACCTTTTTTCTACAGATTACAATCCGTCTCTTTGGTACCTTCTGCCTGATTCTCACTGCAACGGCAAAAATCAGTCCCCCATCAACATTGACACTCAACAGGTCATGATGACTGATGCTCTTGGTTCTTTCCAATTTAAAAATTTTGATGACCAGTCCGCTATCAAATACATCACCAACAACGGCCACACAGGTTGTCTAAGTTGGTCAAATGTGATCAACGATTACCTTATTACACATTTTCCAAATTATGTTCACATGTAAAATACTAAAATGAATTCACCTTAAAACCAACTAGAGCTTAATGTGTTATTTGTCTTATTAAATTTTTAGTGAAGTGTGTATTACAAGACAACCTGGTGGAGGTGTCTGGAGGTGGTTTGAACTACGTCTACTCAACCCTTCAGTTCCACTTCCACTGGGGCACCGAAGCATCCAACTCATTGGGCTCGGAGCACACTGTGGATTCACAAAGGTACCCAATGGAGGTAGTTGCATGTACTGCTCATCTATATTTAAAGTACTGTGCCTTTTGACTTACTTATGCTAAATATCATCAATGTCCTGTTTTTGTTCAGTTGCACATAGTCGGCAAAAGGAAGGATTTGACTTTGGAAGAGGCGTTACAGACTTCTGATGGCATGGCAGTGCTTTCATTCTTTATTGAGGTAACATCTGGAGCATTAAATTGGTCTGGCAAACAAAAATTGAGCAAAAAACGTTTTACTTTTAGCTAAAATGTACAGTATAAAAAGTTTTGGGGGATGACTTGACAGGGTCAGACTGTCTACTTGCATTGCAACGCAACTGTTTTGATGTGGTGTTGTGCAAAAATTTAGGGTTTAATCTCGATCAGGACTAAATTCAACAAATATTCTGCAGTAGAGATTTGACTGTACAAGAAAAGGTGTGTAAGAAACCCAGAGTTAAATAACCCTCCAGTATACACAGTACATAGTACATACCATTCTACCAGTTATCTGATTCTTGGTCAGTTTTAAGCCACATTTGGAGTTAGATTATGAAGATTTGGATCTGTTTGCTGTATTTTATAGTTTGGAAATTGAAACTGCAGTCAGCTTGTTAAGCTAATTTCTGTTTCCAGGCTTCACAGATGAGTAAAAGCAGTGCCTGCAGTTCAGTAGATTCGCAGCCCACCACGAGTTCAACGTCGGACATGACACCCTGGAAAAAACTAACCAATTACTTGTCAGCTATCCAGAACATTAGTGAGTACACACTTGTTTGATTGAATGCCAAAGCAAAAAAAGACACACAACTGAACATTTGTTAAAACATTTTTTTTCATTTTTTGCTCTTGCGTAGGTACAAAAGTTGAAGTCACAGATAAAATCTCTATCGATGACTTGCTTGGCAGCGTGAACCGTGATTCATATTACCGCTACAGTGGTTCCCTTACTACGCCTATATGCAAAGAAGCTGTGGTTTGGACAATCTTTAAAGAGACGGTCAAGGTGGATGAGAACCTGGTATGTATCACTCATCATCCTCACATGAGGTGCATCAAGCAGGTGATCTGCCATGGCTTTATTCAGCAGTATTGCACATTGAGAACTAGAGTGAAAGAAGAAAAGTCATTCAAGGTGCAATTTTTGTAACAATCTTCAGCTGAGAATGAATTGAAAGGCATTTGTCGAACATCTTCGATGCAACACTTTGACATTTACACATAAATAATGCGCACATTGTTGCATTTCACTTGTTTTGATTTCTGTTTCATGTGACCTTTTCTTAAACCTCTTGGCATTGTTTCATTGTTTACACTGATATCAAATGGCTGTAACTGTACATGTAGGTGAAGTAACTAAATTACCCATCTACATACAAGCAATTCAAGAATGTCACATCTTTCCCATTTTGGCGTTTAAAATGTCAATATTTGCCCTGCAGCCTTTAACAATTGTAATTGTGTTGCGTCTCTTTAAGATAGCTCAAGTTACTGATAAGTGATACCACAAGTATGTGCCAGTACCTTTTGTAGAGAGTTATGAGAGAAGCATGCTTGCTGTGGATACACACCACCGTGACTCTGATCCTCCTGACATCTGTAGCCAGCCTGCTCTGCTCCCATGAAGTATGGCAAACATTCACTTGACTTCTAAATTGTTAATGTCTTAATCATCATCTGCTTGAAGATACTGCACACTGCGGTCCAAGAGAAGATGTTTGGGCACCATTTTATAATGTGGGTTGGATTTATAATTTGTGGTGGGGAGGAGGGGGTAAAAATATTCAGTTGGACCACACCGATATTGGGAATTTCACAGTGCTTGTTGTGGTGAATAGCTAGAACTGTGTTATTTTAGTGGTATTCGCAGGAACACCTCATCCACACAGACACTCCGATCAGAGAGCGAGCGGGACACAGTGCAACAGTCTTCAGATTTAATTGAGCACACTCCAACTTCCAGACATCTTGGTGTACATGGGTCACTTGTAGTTTGTCTTTTTCTCTACAACCTGTTTATGACATTCTCCCTGTCTGGTATCTGAAATAAACAAACACAATATAACTGAAATGACTAAATCAAGCACATAATAACTTGAGGCTTAGCTTCAACTTACGACTGTTAAAAAGTCAGAACAGAAGAACACCAACTGACATTCCTACACAAGGGATGCTAACATGCTAACATATGTTAGCACTGAAATTCAAGTAGGTATCTCTGCAGACAAATTCAGGAGGGTATCTGGAAGGCCACATCTGATTGGACGATAGAAAAATGGGTGTGTCTGGAGGGCCACATCTGATTGGATGGAGAAAAAAAAAAGGCTGAAGGAAAAATACAAGCAGTTTGTGTTCATCACAGACATATTATGTATATGATGTTAACCGGTTCGACATTAGCGGCGTCTCCATAACTTCTCTTTCCGCCTCTCTTAACACAGAACTTGCGGTTACATTTCAAAATAAGAGCAACATAAATGGGTAGTGAGGAGGGCTAAATGTTATTTTTTTTTTTATATATATATATATATATATATATATATATCCATTACATAAAAAAACCCAAAATCTGTTTTGGTTGTTGAAGAATGTGAAAATAGTTACAACTGATTCATAAAGAGAGAAAAATAAAGTAGCCAAAATAATAATGATACTTGAACTGGCTTTGGGACAAATGATGGTTTCCTTTAACTTCACATTTTCTTGTTCAACTTTTAAAGCAGTCACTGCAGATGAGTGATTGTCAGTTTCTGTAAGATTTCTGCAACTGGAGCAGGTATTTCTGTTTACTGGTTAACTTCCTCAGCTGTCTCACATTTTAAGGGTCAATACTACTCCATGTTTCAGCTCCTTTCATAGATCAGATCTCATAGAAGAACTTCTAAAGAACAAATTTTGTTTTTAGCTTTTGTTTTGGGCCGTTCTCGTTACAGGACTCATGATCTTTAATTGAGACCAGACTTTTTGACAAATGGGAGCAGGTTTCACTTCAGATGCTTCATATTTCATTGTACCCAGACCACACTCAAGCCAACCTGTGTCAGGTGCAACCCAAGAACAAAAGAGAATCTTCTTGTTTGACAGCAGATATAACGCTGTTTCTTAGAAACCTTCAGTTTTAAAAAAGAGCTGACGTAATATAAGAGCCAACAAATACAGCTAGCCAATCAGCGTTTGCCATCTACAAACTCCTATTCTCCAGAAACGCCCATTTTTGGTCTGCAGAGAACCCCTTTTCCTGAAATTCGCCGCCTAATTTGCATATTTGCGGTTTTATTTTAATATGAAAAGAATATAGCCGTTCTTAACAACTTGTTATAGCTCACCTTTATCACAAACGCAGACGGATATCAACGTAAAAAAAGAGGAATCTCAGTGAACAAAATCTATATATTCCCAAGAACCCCAGTTGCCCCACAAGGTGCCTAATGTAAAAAACAAGGACTTCAGCACTAAACAGATCCTGCTCAGAACATGCAGTTATACTAGGGAATTTATAATACTTGTCCTTTTTATTAACCACACTCTTCAACAACCTTACAAGGCCCAGTTGAATGGCTGCTCTCATCTTACATGAACGTAATTCATACAACTCGTAATTAAAGGTCCATATACAAAACTCTAAAGTCCATCTCACAATCCACGTGTCCATCAGCAAGCAAGCTTTCTCCCATAACTCTACCAATGGTAGTGGCGCGTACTTGTGACATCACTTAGCAGTAACTGAAGCTGTTAAAAAAAAAAAAAAAAACTGTTACAAGCCTATATATACTGAGTGTTTGCAACAAAAGTCAAAACCAAACTTAAAACTTTCATCTAGTTTGTATTGAATGATGTTTAGAAACTGGTCACAGTGCGCTTCTGTCACATTCTACAAAAATCAAATCATGCGTTCCAAAAAACTCTTTGCATATCAGAGGTAAAACTGTGATGAGGAATTTGTCAGGGAAAGGTTGTGAGTATTATTCAAAGGAGGAAAAAAAAAACTGTTTAAATAGGAAGTTTACAACAATTTGAACAAAAGGTCACTAAAAATTTTTAGTGTTCCTCAAAATGGTAAAACCTGGTGAAACTTTTAATGTAAAGGGACAACACAGAAGAAACTCTAAAGACTTGTTTGAGTTTGACTGTATAGGCTGCTAATCAGTTTTTTTTTCTAAATGCAAGCACATGATATGTCTCATCTGATAAGTTCCAAGTTAAACTATTTTGGCAAAAGTCCAAACAATGTGTGCCACACGTAGTATGACACCTGCTCAATGAGCCTTGCAGTAAAGCATGGTGGTGGCAGTATCATGTGGTGCTTTTATAACAGCAGAGAGATAAAGGATAGATTCAACCAAATATCTAAGGGTTTCTAAAAAACAACCTAAAGCAAACTGAAAAGTTTTGAGTTGTCCAGCAAAAAATATGAATTTCACATGTTTAACCCTAAACTTTACAACGCTCAGTGTATATTCCTCAAATTTGAGAGATTTTACTTTAACTACTCTGATGAAAGTTTGCAGGATGTGCACTTAAAGAAAGATTAAACTCCAAGTTTCATAAGAATTTATTGAACAAAACTTTGCAAAAAATAAATGGAAAAAAACCCATAAATGTAGCTTTAGAACTTTGATCACATGGTCAAAACGTCTCCTTTGTTTAAATTTGGTAATTTGTGAAATCGGCTCAAATCAGGTTCTTATCAGCACGATGACAAAAAAACATGTGACTGAGAACAGTGCAGCCAAACACAATCTAACCATCTGTAACAGTCATTACACACATCTAAACCACGTGTGACGCATTGCATGTACATGCCATCTTTATAACTTTCCACAAACAAGAAGGTTGAAGTTTCCTTCCTTGAAGAAGGAAAATGAATTATTAGTCCTAAACTAAATTTACTTTACTTTCTTACAGATGATAATGTTCCCAAAATTCACAAGCCTTGAAGACATTTATCGACCCATACAAAGTGTTAATGGCAGAAAAATCTACTCCACATCTGCAGCCGGGGCCCCAAGATCCATCTTACTTTATCCTCTGTCGGCATGTCTCTTTGCACTGGTCTGTAGTACTTGACTTGTAGTTTGGATCTGAGGAGAAACACTGTAAGAAATGTATACTGATCCCATATTCATTAATAAGTTAACATAGTTTCAATGATAGAATTATATATATTTTTTGATTGTGAAATCTTTGAATGATAATAAAGAATGCTGTTAAGTTGGAAAACTTTTTTTTTTCTGGGCTGTTTCAGATTGGATTTGTTTCTGCAATGGATGTACAAAATATAAACTCTTCTTGTTTTAATTTGTTTGCATGGTCAGTAAAAATGAGAAATATGTTGTAGTAATATTATCAATATTTCAGAGATTTATTTAATCACAGCAGAGTGAAAGTTCTCTGCAGTTTGACTGTGATCTTATTTGTATTATTTCTTTCTCTTCATTATTAGACACTGCAGACATGATCATACACAAAAAAAAATACTATAGTGATAAGTTGTTTTTGTTTTGTCCTCATGCATGCTCAATAATCCAGGTCTAACAAGGTTAAGTCAGGTCATCTGGACAAATTCTTCTTTGTTAAAATGTTTCATCTTTTATCCAAAAGACTTCTTCAGTCTGGGACTGAGACTCGAGAGGTTTTTTTTGGATAAAAGACTAAATGTTTCAACAAAGAATCCATCCAGTTGACCTGACTTAACCTTGTTAGATTTGTTTTGTGTGTGCAAATGATATCAAATGGCATGAGCAGGGAATTGAAGACAATCCTGTGTTTGATGGATGATGAACTCTGAAAATGGTGAGCAGTTTATCACAGTGGGGGCGTCGTTTTACAAAACCAGTCGGACTGTAAATTACTAGTTATTCAAGTTAAAAACAGTTCATAGATCTAATGTAACAGCAAATACAAGTGAAAGAATGAAAGAAAACGGCAACTAAAAACAAATAATGCAAATTAATCTTATTTTTTTTTTTACTGTTTCCAGCATTATGGAACAAAGTAATTTGAGGCTGAGATGGGGTAGAGGTAGGGCAGCCGACCTGGGACCAGAAAGCTGCGGTTAGACTCCCAGCCATTCCCACATGTCATGGTGTCTCTGAGCAAAACACCCAATCCCTAATTGCTCCCTGGGCAGCTGCCCACTGTTCCACCTGGGTGCATCTTACATGTGATGGGTTAAATGCAGAGAACCAATTTTTCCATTGTTTGCATACAATGATGACAACCTCAGACTTCCCTTATGCCAGCGAACACGCTCTGTGATCCAACTGTCATTAATGGGAAATACTAAAAATGCTTGAACAGACAAGGAAGTAATAAACGTGAGTCGTTTTAAGGAACCAAACTGAACATGCATTAACTTTTATAAGTTTCTTGTTGCGGTTCACTCCAATTTCCACCTGCTTTTAATTGTGCGAACTTAGAAAAATGAACAATTGGGGTTTTCATGATTTTCTTTTTTTTTTTCAGTGAAAACTGGTGAAGACAGATTAAATAAACTTACAATATTGTGCTTAATAAAGTTGCAGTTGTGACCAAAATATGGCCAAGAAGTGGCCTTTGATGGTGTGATGTAGAAACTTTGAGTTAGTTTTATAAGTCATGTTACGGTCATCTGTTGTTCTTTCCTTAGTTATTGATTTATGTTCTTTGTTGCTCAATATATTTTAGTTTTCTTGTTTTTCTCTGTGTTTCAGCTAATTGTTCCTGTTAATCACCGCACATCTCTTATACATACTGCACCGCTATTTTATCCTGCATGTTTTAGAAGTCCCTCTGCTCCAACACACTTGATTTTAATCAATGGGAGATTTACAGGCTTTTGAAGAACGATACGATGCAATTCAGCCATTAAATCAGGTGTGTTAAAGCACGGAAATGGGTAAAACATGCAAGATAGTTGCCTTTGACACCCCAACTTAGACCATCTTCATTTGTGTAACGCCTTCAAATTAAAACAAACTACTGGTACTTTAAAAAAAAAAATTTAAATCAAAGACACCAGAAGTATAGTACACATTTTGACACAGACAACTATTCAGTTTAACAATTTGCTAAACTTAGATTTATTTTACGGTTAAGTTCAGCGATTCTGCTAGCAGAACCAAATTAGGTATACATAGGTGAACAAAATACTTTAAACTTTATATCTTTTCACCATCTGTTGACATCTAAAAGATTTGTTGCGAGTGTCAGGCACTTTGTTTGACAAGCATAAAATATTTGTATGTTTTGAGAAGACATTTTGAATTAGTTCTGAACTATGGCTACAAGCAAGTCCTCATCAGAAAAAAGGCTGCTTTCAGTCCTCACTGCTATCCAGTAAAACAGGTTTCAAATACGAGTAAACATTTTGTTGAAATGAAACAACAAATTTCTGTAAATGACTGATCCTTTACTCAGCACAGCATAAAAACAAACGCATTCACAGTGGCGCTCCACTTACTTTGAGGAATCTTATCTTGGAGAGATAGCCTACTAACGTCCAAAAATCTCTCCATAAAGCTAGAACTTTATATTATTCATCTTTAATTGTTGAGAATAAAAATGACCCCATTATCCTTATCGGTACCATAGCTAGTCTAATGAAAAATCCTGTCTCTCTTGATTCATGTATCCCTACAGCTATAAGCGGTGATGACTTCATGAGATTATTTATAAATAAAATTGTTTCAATTAGGGTAAAAAAAATAAATAAATCAAACCAACATTCCTAGTATCACCTCTGATTCTGTGTCAGATGAAACAACTTAAAAAATGTCACTAGAAGCTGATTTATGTTTGGACTGTTTTTAATCCTACTGAGTTCTCTGAATTTTCAAAAATAGCTTCACCCAAACCATCCATATGTCTGCTAGATCCCATCCCAACAAAGTTATTTAAATATACATTTCTCTTAATAACCACATCTTGGATCGGCTTAATTTGTCTCTAATAAATGGTTATGTGCCAGAGAGCTTTAAGATTGCTTTAATTAAACCTTTACTTAAGAAACATTCATTCAACCTTTATTTATACAGGTTAATCCCATTGAACCTCGAGGACTCGTTTACAAGACGGACCTGATTTCAACAAAGAGTGATGACAACAATGGACAACAATAGACCATTATAAAAAGGCATACAGATTTTTTATCAATTTTATTTTACAAATAAGATGGCAAAAAAGTAACAAAAACAACTAGACAATGTTTAAAAAAAAAAAAAAAAAAAAGTCTGCATTGGTCCCTGCCAGGAGTCCAAAATATTCTTAAAGCTAATTGGAGAGGTCAAGGTCAAGAGCTTCAGGTCTTTCTTCTTGTAAGATATTCCAGGAAACAGGAGCGGAGTAGGAGAAGGCCCTTTTGCCAAGTTCAGTCCGCAATGAGGGAACACTGCAGGTAATGATGTCCTGCGAGCACACGCTGAAGCTGCACTCATGTAGAGACATGGAGGAGGAGATGTATGAAGGCAGCAGACCAAGAAGTGATTTAAAGATGAAAATGAAATAAGGAAAATATCACCTTGACTCAAGAATCCTAGCCAATTATAGACCTACAGTATATCTACAGGGCTGGTCATAAAATGATCAATATTGCACAATATCATGAAAAAGTTGATTATTTTCAGTATTTCAATTCAAAAAGTGAAACTTGTATATTCATTCATTACACACAGACTGACACATTTCACATGCTTATTTCTTTTAGTGTTGATGATTATAACTGACAACTGATGAAAACCCTGAATTCAGTATCTCAGAAAATTAGAATATTGTGATAAGGTTCAGTATTGAAGACATCTGGTGCCACACTCTAATCAGCCAACTAATTCAAAACACTTGCAAAGGCCTTTTAAATGGTCTTTCAGTCTAGTCCTTTAGGCTACACAATCATGGGGAAGACTGCTGACTTGACAGTTGTCCTAAAGACGGCCATTGACAACTTGTTCAAGGAGGGCAAGACACAAAAGGTCATTGCTAAAGAGGCTGGCCATTCACAGAGCTCTGTGTCCAAGCACAATATTAGAGAGGTGAAAGGAATGAAAAGATGTGGTAGAAAAAAAGGTAAAAGCAATAGGGATAACTGCACCCTGGAGAGTATGGTGAAAAAAAACCTATTCCAAAACATGGGGGAGATTCACAAAGAGTGGACTGCAGCTGGAGTCAGTGCTTCAAGAACCACCATGCACAGATATATGCAAGACATGGGTTTCAGCTGTTTCATTCCTTGTGTCAAGCCACTCGAACAAGAGATAGCGTCAGAAGTTTCCTGCCTGGGACTGCTGCTAAGTGGTCCAAAGTTATATTCTCTGATGAAAGTAAATTTTGCATTTCTTTTGGAAATCAACGTCTCAGTCTGGAGGAAGAGAGTAGAGGCACAGAATACATGTTGCTTGAGGTCCACTGTCAAGTTTTCACAGTCAGTGATGGTTTGGGGTGCCATACCATCTGCTGGTGTTGGTCCACTGTGTTTTCTGAGGTCCAAGGTCAACACAGCCATCTACCAGGAAGTTTTAGAGCATGTCATGCTTCCTGCTGCTGACCAACTTTATGGAGATGCAAATTTCATTTTTCAACAGGACTTGGCACCTGCACACAGTGCCAAAAGCTACCAGTATCTGGTTTAAGGACCATGGTATCCCTGTTCTTAATTGGCCAGAAAACTCCCCTGACCTTAACCCAGTCCTTCTCAAATAGTGGGGCGCACCCCCTGGGGGGACCCGGAGCAATGCCGTGGGGGGGGGGGGGAAGTGGCACTGGGGGACATGCTTTTTTTTTTTTTGCAGCAGGGAGTACTTTTTTTTTTTTCCCTCACCATTTTCATGTTGACAGAGTGCATTCTGCAGCTGTTTGCCTTGGATCCAGCAACTCTCAGAATGACTAATCATAAAGTTATGAACAAATATGACCTTGTCGTTTTGGGAGCGTTGCTGGAACGAGTCACTCCCCTCTGCTGCTGAGAGGACGCATGACATCTCGGCTGCTTTTTTTTATGACGCTTGTACACAGTGCATGCAATAAAGAGTATAAACTCAACGCGAGAGCGACACCTGCCCAGTCTTTCCTCTTTCATGCTAACAAAATGTTTTAGTTTTATCAAGTTTGTCAAAGCACAATTTTTTTTTTTTGTAAATGCAGAAGTAATGTTTAATAAATGTTAGGACTCTATTCTTTGCTAACAAAATTTATTTTATGTCATTAAACAACTTGTCAGGTTCTTCTCTTGTGAGCATGTTCCCCGGGACCTCCCCCCCGCCGGCTCGCCCGCTCTTTGCGTTCCAACATCAAGCAGTTGACAAGTAAGACCTGAAGTGCAAATAACAAACCCTTAAGAGACACCATGGAAAAATATTTAACAGGGATGAAAAGAAAGGCGGAAAGAGATGTAGATAAAGAAACAAACCTGTCTCCTGAAAGCCAAGACGAGGAAATATGACGAATAATATGTAGCGCTTGGCTTCACTGTGACTACGGTGGGAGATGAGGAAAGACCATGTTTACTGTGTCTAAAAATGTTGGCAGCGGACAGCATGAAGCCAAGTAAATTAAGGCATCACTTAAAGACATTACACCCGAATCACGCTGATAAGCCACTTGAGTTTTTTCAACGAAAACGTGCTGAATATTGCCAACAATCGTCCTGCTTTGTGAATGCTACTTCAGTAAACCAGCGAGCACTGTTAGTATCATATAAGGTGGCGTACCAAGTTGCTCAGTGCAAAAAAAAAAACCCCACACCATAGCAAAGGAGCTGCCTGCAGCATTAGACATAGTCTCTGTCATGCTGGATGAGGCAAGTGCTGCAAAAATAAAAACTATCCCTCTGTCCAATGACACTGTCGCCTGACGTATAAACAACATTGCTGATGATCTTAAAGAACAGCTGGTAGATCAGCTCAAAGACAAACGTTTTGCCTTACAGTTCGATGAAGCAACTGACTGCAACAAAGACTGTTTATTGCTTATGTACGTTTTGACATGACAAACTCCCTGTGTGAGGATCTACTTTTTTTGTAAATATGTCAGAGACAGAGCCACAGCTGAAGAGCTATTCAAAATGCTGGACTGCTTCCTGACTGAGAATGGGCTAAAGTGGGAGAACTGTATTAGTGTTTGCAGTGATGGTGAACAGACCATGGCAGGGATGAGAAAAGGACTTCGGGCACTCATCAAGAAGGCCTCACCTAATGCTGAGTGGACACACTGTGTTATACACAGAGAAGCCCTGGCATCAAGGCACCTGTCCTCTGAATTAAGTGAGGTTATGACTGACATTGTAGGTGTAGTCAATTTTATAAAGACCAGACCACTAGAGACAGCGGGGTGGCAGCGAGCGAGGGGGAAAGATTGGGAACGAGACGCGGCATACCGAGTGAGAGAAAAACTACAAAGCTTTCAATGGAAATCTTAAAATGTTCTGCTTTCAGAAGAAGTTGATACGGCGGGAAAAGAGGATTCAATTAAAACTGAATGGGAGAAGGTGAGATATTTAAGTTGGACATGTCTAGATGGAGTGGTACCCCACAGGATGGGAGTAGTACTAGATCTAGGGAGGGGCCCTCAGTAGAGGTGAGGATTTCCTCTCCACCCACCAACAGGGACTTGGGGATGAAGGATACCCCATGGTTGAAACCCAGCCTCAACGCAGCTGCTCTCGTCGTTTCGTCTTCTTTGCGTGCTTCTTCTTCCGGTGAAAAAAAACCTGCTGTCATCCAACTCAGCTCCTCTTAGTGTGCAGCACCTCCAGGCAGGCAGCCAATCACAGCTCCGTTCAGCAGTGTCTTTCTCCAGCCGCACACCTGGACACTAATTGGCACAATTAGAGCTTTGCACACTCACACACATTAAACCTACGACTGGGGTCGTAACAGTAAGGCTGACACATTGTCCAGTTTTAAGACTTGACTTAAGGGTGCATTCACACCAGCCCTGTTTAGTCCACTTTAATTGAACTCTAGCTCATTTTCCTTGAAAGTCCTGCTCGTTTATGGAGATGTGAACGCGCCATCGAACTCTGTCACGGAACAAAAAGGCGAACTCTGGCCCGGGCTAAAACCTAGGTCTCGGTCCGGTAGAAGAAAACTCCAGCGCGGTTCGAGTACAGTGTGAATGTAAACAGACCTGGTCCCGCTCCGCAGGGTAAACAAACGCGCATTTCTCTGACCTTATATGGAGCCGTCAGCTGCCTTGTGTGAAAAACAATATTCTCCATGGTCTTCTGTCTCATCTTCTGCTCATGCTAAGTCCATTTTTGAAAAATGACAAAATATAACTCCTAAAACTGCTAAAACTTGATGCCACTTCGTTTTTATTTTTATTTACAGAAGAAGAAGAAGACATGTCTTCAAAGGTTTTTGTGTCTTTTCTTTCAGTAGTTCTTGGTGCAGCGCCCCCTCAGGCGAGCGGGGGAACAGGTTGGTTCAACAGGTTGACTGACTGCACAGTGCAGTGTGAATGCAAACTCACCAGCTCAAATTTAAACAAAAGCTCATGAATATTGGTCCCGAACCGAACCGAGTCTACCGGACTATCTAGTGTGAAAACGACCTAAGACGTTCCTTTTTGATAAATTCTTTGGGTTGGCTTGTTATGCCATAGGCTCTTAGACTACTGGAGGGCAAACTGACCTCATTAAATGATTTGCTAAAATTGAATAGTTTTATTTAATACTATTTCTATCTTAACATGCGATTCTTGACCTGCCATTGTGTATCTGTTCTTACCAAACCCAGCCGGTTGAAGCAGATGGCCGCTTGTCCTGAGCTTGGTTATTACACATTTTCTAAGAGATTTTCACATTTAAAATATTTAAACAAGCTCACCTTAAACCAACTAGAGCGTAATGTGTTTTAATTTGTCTTCTCATTAAACTTTTAGTGGAGTGTGTATTACAAGACAACCTGGTGGAGGTGTCTGGAGGTGGTTTGAACTATGTCTATTCAACCCTTCAGTTCCACTTCCACTGGGGCACCGAAGCATCCAACTCATTGGGCTCGGAGCACACTGTGGATTCACAAAGATACCCAATGGAGGTAGTTAAATATACTGCTCATCTATATTTAAAGTACTGTGCCTTTGACTTACTTATGCTAAATACCATCAATGTCCTGTTTTGTCCAGCTGCACATAGTCAGCAAAAGGAAGGATTTGACTTTGGAAGAGGCGTTCCAGACTTCTGATGGCATGGCAGTGCTTGCATTCTTTATTGAGGTAACATCTGGAGCATTAAATTGGTCTGGTAAACAAAAAAGGAGCCAAATCAAACTTCTAGCTAAAATGTAGAGTATAAAAAAGAATGGATGGTGGGGGAGGAATGGCTTGATAAAGTCAGACTGACTATAGTACCTGCAATGCTGTCACTCAACTGTTTGATGTGTTGTTGTGCAACATTTTAGGATTTAATCTCAATTAGGACAAAATGCAACAAATAATCTGCAGTAGATATTTGACTGTACAAGAAAAGGTGTGTAAGAAACCCAGAGTTAAATAACCCTACAGCAGTGCTTAAAATGAACCCGGATCTTGCCGGAACAACATCTGGGAACTTTCTAATTTTGTCAAGGTGCGTTCCAGCAACTCTTTACTAGAATACGGCAACTCTGAGTCTTACTAATAATAAAGTTATGAACAATTATGACTGCCTTTCGTTTTGGGAGCCATGCTTAAACCATGTCGCTCCCCTTTGCTGATGAAATGATAAATAAATAACAACACACACATGCAACAAAGAGTATAAACTCAAAGCGAGATTGATAGCTGCCCCCTTTGACCTCTTTTGTGTTGACAAAATCTTTTAGTATTATTGGTGAGTTTGTCAAAGCACAATTTCGAGATGTGTATATATAATTTTTTTTTTTTTTTTGTAAATACAGAAGTTATGTTTAATAAATGTTAGGACTCTATTCTTTGCTAACAAAATATATTTTATGCCAGACAATTTGTCAGATTCTTGTGTTGTGAGCATGCACATTCCCCAGGACACCCACCCCCAGCCGGTCCGTCTGCCATTTGCATTCTGGCATCAGTTGGTTTACAAATTAAGCCCTGCCCTGCAGTATACACAGTACATACCATTCTACCAGTTATCTGATTCTTGGTCAGTTTTAAGCCACATTTGGAGTTAGATTATGAAAATTTGGATCTGTATGCTGTATTTTATATTTTGGAAATTGAAACTGCAGTCAGCTTGAGTCAGTTTGGTAACCTAATTTCCAAAATATCTGTTTCCATGCTTCACAGACGAATAAAAGCAGTGCCTGCAGTTCAGTAGATTTGCAGCCCACCACAAGTACGACGACAGACATGACACCCTGGAAAAAACTAACCAATTACTTCTCAGCTATCCAGAACATTAGTGAGTACACACTTGATTGATTGAATGCCAAAGCAAAAAAAGACACACAACTGAACATTTGTTAAGACATTTTTTTCATTTTTTGCTCTTACGTAGGTACAAAAGTTGAAGTCACAGATAAAATCTCTATCGATGACTTGCTTGGCAGCGTGAACCGTGATTCATATTACCGCTACAGTGGTTCCCTTACTACTCCTACATGCAACGAAGCTGTGGTTTGGACAATCTTTAAAGAGACGGTCAAGGTGGATGAGAACCTGGTATGTATCACTCATCGTCCTCACATGAGGTGCATCAAGCAGGTGATCTGCCATGGCTTTATTCAGTAGTATTGCACATTGAGAACTAGAGTGAAAGAAGAAAAGTCATTCAAGCTGTAATTTTGTAGACATTACCTTTCTTAAAGCTCTTAGCATTGTTTCAGTGTTTACACTGACATAAAACAGCTGTAACAGTACATGTAGGTGAAGTAACTAAATTAGTCAACTACATACAAGCAATTCAAGAAGGCCACAACTCTCCCATTTTGGTGTTTAAAATGTCAATATTTGCCCTGCAGCCTTTAACACTCGCAATTGTGTGGCGTCTCTTTAAGATAGCTCAAGTTACAGATGTAATACCGTAAGTATTCTCCATGGACGCTTGCATAGCTCCCCGCTATGAGGTGCTGGGTGCATTTCATGTGTGATGGCAGTTAATTTAACAATGTTAAATACAGCTAATTTTGTCATTGTGTATGGTAACATCCAATGCCGCTGCGACTCTTTGATCCTCTCAACACCTGCGTCTTGGCCAGCCTGCTCTGCTCCTGCCAAGTATGGCAGACATTCACTTCACTGCTACTTACTTTGTTAATGTTTTAATCATCATCTGTCTACTGCACACTGAGGTCCAAGAGAAGATGTTTGGGCACCATTTTGTAACGTGAGCTGAATTTATAATTTGTGGCCAAGAGGAGGTGGGACAGTCAAAAACTCATGACCACAATACTGGCAATTCCACAGTTCTTGTCCTTTTATTAGCCACACTCTTCACCAACCTTACAAGGCCCATTTGAACGACTGTTCTCTCATCATACATGAAAAGAACAGAGTTCATACAACCCGTAATGTTAACTTTGACTTAGAAAATTAAACTCTAAAGTCCATCTCACAGTCCAGGTGTTCTTCGGCAAGCAAGCTTCTCCCATAACTCTCTACAGAAGGTAGTGGTGCATGCTTGTGATGTCACTTAAAGACGGAAGCTGTCATAAAGAGAAAAGAGATGTTACAAGCCTATATCTACTGAGTGTTTGCAAAGAAAAGAAAAAATGCCAAACCCAAATTTAAAATCTTCATCTAGATTCAACTGATGTGTTTAGATGTTTAGAAACTGAGGCGACTGGTCACAGTGTGCTTCTGTCACATTCTACAAAAAACAAACCATGTGGTCCAGTAAGCTCTTTGTAGACGTAAAACTGTGATGAGGAGTTTGTCAGGATAAGGTTTAAATATCTTGTTTAAATTTAATTGTTCAAAGGAAGACAAAAACTATTAAATATAGGAAGTTTAAAACAATTAAACGGAGCAAAAGAACAAAGGTCACTTACAAACGTACAAACAGAAAAGAAAAACCAAATGACAGTAATGGGACAACACAGAAGAAACTTTCAAAGACTTGAGTTTGACTGCAGTCCTTACACCTTGTTCCTCCTATAGAAAGTACACCCAAACCTGCCATTCTGTGTCAATTTCTGCTTCCTGTCCTCTCACACCCAAGCTGGTCGAAGCAGATGACCGCTTGTCCTGAGCTTGGTTCTGCTGGCGGCTTCTTCCTGTTAAAAGGGAGCTTTTCCTTTCCACTGTTGTTTTTGTGCTTGCTCAGGATGGGAGACTGTGTCAAAGTGAAGATTCAATGTGTCTGCAGTCTTTCTTAGATAGAGAACTTTTACTAATTGGCTTTTTATGCATGTGAATGTTTCTGTTCAGTGTCCTGAGACAACTTCTTTTGTGTCTTGACACTATATAAATAACCTGAACTGAATTGAATTGAATAGTCTGCTAATCTGATTTTTTTAAAATGTGAGCGCACGAGGAAATTTCTTATCTGATAAGTTAAAGTAAAACTATTTAGGCAGAAGTCCAAACAATGTGCGCCACACGCAGCATGACGCCTGCTCAATGAGCCTTACAGTAAAGCATGGTGGTGGCAGTATCATGTGGTGCCTTTTTAACAGCAAATGGATAAAGGAAGGAAAGATTCAACCAAACGTGTAGGATTCAAGGAATCAAGGTTCTTTATTGTCATTCGCATCATATGCGGTACATGAGGTGGAACGAAATTGTACACACAGGGTCCCAGTTACATCCAACAATAGCAAAAATATAAAGTGTAAAAAGAAACAGTAAATGAGCATCTAAGATATCAACTAAGATATAAGCTAAGCAAATGCCCAACGGTACGCTAAAAGATCTAAGATATACGCTAGTCACTAATAGTGCAAAACAACACACCCAACAATAGCAGCACAATTCTCAAAGGTTTGGTTCGGCTATAATTTACATGCTTACTGTGAGCGGAGTTGGGCTCGGAGCCGACCCCAAAACTAACATAAAAATGGATTTATACAAAGCTTGCAACAAAAATACAGAAACAAGGTGCCAAAAGTGAAAAAGAAATAAATCTAAAGCAGCATGGTCCTATTGGCAGAGTGGTTCTGATGACAGTGAAGTTCTCTTAGCAACATGGTCCAGTTGGCAGCATGATACTGTTAGCAGTGAAGTTCGGTTAGCAGTGAGGCTTCTCTTAGCAACATGGTCCTGTTGGCCCCATGGTACTATTAAGCGGTGTGGTATAAAGGTTTCTGTTAAGAAAAAGAAATACTTTGATCACATGGTCAAACCCTTCAATGTAATTTCTCTATACAACGTTTCCTTCTTTATTTAAAATGTAGTAATCTGTGAAATCAACTCCGATCATGGGTTCTTATCAGCAAGATGATAAAAAGACATGACAGAGAACAGTACAGACAAACACAATCTAACCATCTGTAACCGTCATTACGCACATTTAAATCACTTGTGACGCACTGCATGTGCCTGTTATCTTTATAACTTTCAACAAACAAGAAGGTTTATACCAATAGTGACATAATTTAATCATCAGTTGTTTTTTTCCTTAAGATGAAAGTTTATTAAAAGAAAAGGAAGTATTTCTAAACCAACTTCACTTTCATGTTTTACAGATGGTAATGTTCCCAAAATTCACAACCCTTGAAGACTTTTATCGACCCATACAAAGTGTTAATGGCAGAAAAATCTACTCCACATCTGCAGCCACGGCCCCAAGATCCTCTGTTGGCATGTCTCTTTGCATTTGTCCAGTAGTTTGTATCTGAGGAGAAACACTGTAAGAAATATATTTTGATCCCATAGTCATTAATAAGTTAACATAGTTTCAGTGCAAGATTTACCTTTATGTTGATCACTTTTTTGATTTTTGTAACCTTTGACTCAGCTAATCAAGAATGCTGTTGAAAGTTGGAAAACTTTTTTTTTTTCTGGGCTGTAGCAGATTAAATAGATTTTTTTTTCTTGCAATGAATGTTTAAAATATAAACTGTTTTCTTGTTTTATTGAGTTGTTTGCATGGCCAGTAAAAAGGATTTTTTTTTTTCTTTCTGCTGCTCCCTGCGTTGGGGGTCGCCACAGCGAACTAAGTCGCACGAAGACTTGGCAGTTATTTTTACACCGGATGTCCTTCCTGACGCAACCACAGACTACCGAGTTACCACAGCCCTCTGTGTGGAGCAGAGAGCTGCTATCTAGGACACACGGAGGAGCAGATGATGGGGGTTAAGGGCCTTGCTCAAGGGCCCAGAGTGGGGTGAATGTGGGAAAAAATAAAGAAAAAATACTATAGTGATAAGTTGTGCTTTTGCTTTGTCCTGATGCATGCTCAATAATCCAGGTCTAACAAGGTGAAGTCAGGTCATCTGGACGGATTCTTCTTTGTTGAAACATTTTGTCTGAAGAAGTCCTTTTGATAAAAGACAAAATGTTTCAACAAAGAAAAAAAAATGTGTAGGTACTCACCAGCTCTGCAGAAGCTCGGGTCCGGTCCGGTTTGGCTACCCTGCAGCATGATGAAGCCCACCACCCTGTCCAGGTTGATGTGTGTGTGCTTCCACTCCAGGAAGGACACTCCACGTGCAAGGCTGCCCAGGATGTAGTCCACCTCCCAGGTCCGGACCAGCACCACACGACCAGAACCAGGTTGAACCCCTCTGCCTCTGTTCCCTGCAGCCCCCAGGATCCATGTCACACTGAGTCTGGATCAACAGCAGCCCATGTACTCACCAGTGAAGATACTACTACAACTTGAAGGATGAGTTCATCTTCAGGATAATTTGCAACTTTCTTGCCAGTTCTGTGAGCTTAATAGATAGTTATTTCTGACTTTGCATTGCTAAACTTTCCCTTCATTTCATCAGAAAGCAGCAGCCAGAAGCACTGTTGGCTTCTGGGTAGTGCAGTTCTTTTTGACTGGTGTTACAGTATAGGCTTATCGAAAGAAAACTACAGAATGGCTGAGCCTGTCCAAAGTTGATGTTTTTTTCCGTTAACTTTTTTGGGCCCAGGATGTCGTAGGGGCAGGGCAGCCGACGCAGGACCCGAAGGTCCTTGGTTCAATCCCCAGTCATTGCACATCTCGTGGTGTCTCTGAGCAGGACACTCAATCCCAAATTGCTCCACGGGCACTTTCAATAGCTGCCCACTGCTCCACCTGGGTGTATCCCAGGCGCAATGGGTTAAATGCAGAGAGCCAATTTCGTCTTTGTATGTGAAAATACAATGATGACAACACATAGCACTTTATTTATTATTATTTTTATCCCGTACCATCCCAATCACGTGAGTCATATTAAAGTTAACAATCATTGAAAAAAACGCAAAAGAGTGAGTCCACAAAAGTCGAACCGTGAAGTAGCGAGGGGCTACTGTAATTGTAACCTTACATCAGGGACAATTCTAGAATATGCCCTTTAGGGGTGCTTAGCCCCCAGTGTTGACAATGGCTCTTGGCTTAAATAACACCGTGTCCATTGGTGTCAGAAGCATTTGTAATGTGGGGGAGTCCTCCCCCACAAATTTTTTAATAAAGTTTAATGGCATTTCCTGCATGCTGGTGTATTTTAACAGGTTGTTTAACATCTATTTTTTACCTACTAAACTATTCAATAACTATTTTAGTTAATGGCTCAACAAGAAGTATCCTGACCAACAGCTCTCCTTGTGTGAATAGAGCCCGCTCTGCTTCTCTCATGCATCCTAGCCACAGTCCAAGAAACATAGTGTAGCCTAAGTTAACTTTTAGGAAAATAAATCACTATCCTATATGAAACGATAATAATAATAACTCCTAATGGCCTAGCATAAAGCAATATGATCATTATATGTCGTGTTTATTAGTTGCTTAAAATACCTAAATAAAATTCCTAGTGGGCTAGGTCTACTGTACAGTTACCCAGTTGTAGGGTCAAAAGACAAACGTAGCAATAAAACAGTATGAACAACATTCAGGAATTGTTTCACTAAGTTCATGGGAAAAAACAATGCAGACATGTTCTTGTTTTTAGTTTTCTAAATCGCCTTACAACCTAGCTGGGATTTTTATTTTATTTTTTTTAACTTTTTTTATTATTACTATTTTATTTTCACTTGTTATTCTCAATTTGTATGCATCCATTTATGATTTATGATTGTCTATTGTTGTCTTTCTGGTCCTCATCATTTTTTGTTAAAAGCAGGCCTCTCTTGTAAATGAGTCGCAAGGCTCAATGGGATTAACCTGTATAAATAAAAATTGAATGATTAAGAACATTATCAAATTAATTCAACCTTTATTTAAACATGTTGGTCCCATTGAGCCACGAGGGCTTTATAAATATTTTACGTGAACGGTGATCGCTCCGCCCACGAGGAAATGTAACCCTGGGAGAGCTAATCTCGGACAAACAAACAAGACAGCTGTAATGGTGGAGGTAATGATTCACAGCGTTACCTGAAGCATTTAGTGAGACATTTCTGCTTCACTCAACAATAAGGCAAAGAAGTGAGGCTAATAATAATAATAACAAAAATTATAATAAAATCTAAGCTACTAATAACTTAAAATAACTTCTGCAGTGGATGTTTTCACAGTAAAAGAATGTACATTTTACATTACACAACCTATTAAACACTTTGTACAATATCAGTTTAATTTTAACAATGACTAAACTTTTGCAACCATAAGTCAAAACATATATCTACATATAAAACAGACAAAACAAAGCACAACTAGCTTTAAGCATTAACCTTTAATTTAAATGTAATTATGGCAAAAAAATGGAGTATTTACCTGAAATTACCTTCGTACAGATGAATATGTGGTAGGCTACTTCCTGTTTATAACTTTTGTAATCAGCTACTCATGAGGTCCGCTACCAGCCTTTATTCATCTTTTACATTTTTCCAAACTCCATTTAGGCCTTCTGTGAAATGTACAGGTCCTCCCGATTAGCCACTCGGGGCCTGGACACACCATTAAAAAAAACCTAAAATGCCTTTCTCCCAATAATTTAAACGCAAAATTGGTTTATTTCTTTTTTTTTTTTTAACTCTCTCTCTTATCAAAATACAACCCGGGCACAAATTAAAAATTTGACCCAGTAACGTCAAAACGTGGAAAAATTTGTTCACCTATTCTAAAGTCAACTTCAGAAATGTGTAAAACACAAAAATTCAAATAAACAAAACTGAACTACAAAACTTTGCAAGCAACTTTAATTTGGATGTAAGATAAGCCAATGTTCTGTTCTGACATCACTTGAACAAAAAGAAAAAAAAAAAAGACTTCAGGTTGCATATTTTAGAAAAACAATAAGAAATACCAAAAACAAATTAACAATAAAACCATAAAAATCAAGCATTACTTAACATTTCTTTCATTTTATTTGCTCTAAAGAATAATTAATAGGTGAAACTGAATATCAGCAATCAATTAATCAGAAAGTGTTCTTAAAGAGGCAAAACAAAATAAACACAAGAACCTGTGAACGATTTTGACAGGAAAGTTGTCAGACTGAGGAATTCAGAAAGTCCTGTTACATTATACTCAGTAAAAAATATCATACTCTTGTTAAAAAGAACACATTATTCCTGTGAAGACCATATGGATATTTCCTTATGTGGATGAAACCAGACAGAGTGGTGCTTCAGAATGGTTAAAAAACAAAACAAAAAACAAAAAAAACATGTTCAACCCATGTGAATTCCTGCAGAAAGGGCTGAGCTTGTATAAAAGGGGAAGATGAGGCCCGACAGCTGATAGCTGGCAGAGAGGAGGAGAAACCTGCACGCGAAGGTGAGAGAAACTTTACCTGCAGCAGTCATGTGCTTCTTAAAGGAGGCAAAATGGTGTTTGTAATCCAATAATTTAGTTCCAGAAATATTTGTCTGAAATTGCCTTTATTGTCATTTTTATATATTTGCATTAACACATTTGTTTGTTTCAGATGATCTTGTTTGCAGTTGTTTCAGTGGTTCTGTGCATCTTTGTGCCCTATTCACACTGTGACTCAACCACTATTGGTACATTTTCCTTCTTTAAATCATATTAAAGTAAATTGCGCTTCTGAGGAATGAAGTACTAACTTTCCTCCCTCTCGTCTTTCAGCGTGGTGTTATCACAAACCAAGCTGCAGTAAGTAGAATCATCTTTTCATCTTGGCGCTTTTATCCCACACACAGTGACTCATACCCCTGTCCCCTGTCTGCAGATGACTCCCAATGGGCAGCCATCGCCCCTTTGTACTGCAATAAGACTCGCCAGTCACCCATCGACATCGTGTCGGCCTCCGCCACAGCTAACGCCAACCTGACTGAGTTCACGTTCGAGGGCTTCAGCAGCACCACCTCCATGCTTTTAATGCAGAACACGGGGAAGACAGGTGCAATAGGAATCCTTTCCCTGCAGCTTCAGCATCTTTTACTTCATAATGCAGCAGTTTTGCTTTATTTTATTTAATTTTTCAGTCAAAGTGACCCTGAACCCTGGTGTCAGGATTTCGGGGGGTGACCTGTCTGAGACCTATGACAGCCTACAGCTCCACCTGCACTGGGGAAATGGATCCTCTGTCCCTGGTTCTGAACACACTGTGGATGGGAAGCGTTATCCCATGGAGGTATTTACAGTTTTCTTCATGTGAGGTAATATTTTAGCATTTATCATAGTAAAATTGATCCTTTAGCTTATTGTTTCTCTCCCCAGCTGCACATTGTGAACAGCAAGTCATCTTTTAACAGGAACACAACTCTAGCTGTGGGCGACTCTAAAGGACTGGCTGCGCTTGGTTTCTTTATTGAGGTGAGAAAATATTTCTTTTTCAGTCATAACTCCATGTATCTCTTGTAGCATACCCTCATGCTGTCTTTTTCTTTTTATCAAAGGAATTAAATAACACAACTGGGCAGCCTGCTTCCTGGAAAAACTTAACCAACTATTTATCCAACATCTCACTGGCTGGTAAGACAGCTACAACTTGTGAAATCGATTCATTTGAAGCGTTAATACATGTCTTCAGCTGATGTTTCCATCCTCAGGACAGTCTGTGTCACTGCAAGCTGGGATTTCTCTTGACGATCTTCTGGTTGGAGTGAATCGCTCTAACTACTACCGCTACCTCGGCTCTTTGACCACCCCTTCCTGTAATGAGGCGGTGGTTTGGACTGTCTTCAAGGATACAGTTAAAGTCAGCAAAGATCTGGTGAGTGAGCATGCAGTGGAGTGTTTAATTCCCTTTTTTCCTCCTAATATTAACTGTGTCCATCCCCTCTCTCAGATAAACCTCTTCAGCTCGACGCTGCATGTGAATGACAGCTCATCATCTCTGATGGTTAACACTTTTAGAAGTATCCAGCCAGCACAGCTGGTCTCAACTCAGCCCAAAGCCAGCAACAAGTCTTCCACCAAAATGGGCTTCTCTCTAGTTCTGGTGGTCCTTGGCCTTGTTCTGCGATGGATTTAAACCAAGAATTCGAGCTGGTTCAGATTAAACAGTCACCCCGAATGATTATTAAACCAGCTTGTATCAAATGGCTCAAAAATAGAGACTTAATGGCCTAAAACTATATTTTCCTGATATAGAGGCATCATGAGATGTGAAAAATGTGGAGTTTGAAGGCTACTTTTAACGTTGCTTGTCACTTTTCAATTAAATACATGAACATTTACTGACAAGAGCAAAACTTTATCCAAAGGCCTCAGAAAAAATATGCACTATTTTGTTTTAATGTTTGCACTGCTGCTGTTTAACTGAACACTGAAACTGAAGGTTTGCCTTTGAGTTTGTGTAATGAAGGTTTAAAGTGTGACTTGGACAAATAAGCACAATTTTTAATTGTACACTCTTTCATTTTGTTCTCTTTCTTTATGACATTGTAAATGATGCCTTGCACATTAATCGTACCTCTGAGTCTTAATAAATACATGTTTTTCCAATGACTTGTCCAGTTTGAAGTTAATTTTTAATCTGACTTTAGTTTACAAGAAAATTTTATGTGCGAAGAACAAACAAAAACAACTAACTCGGTCCTTTTATTGCACTTACGGAAAGATGTTAGATCTTTTAAGAGCTTAGGTTCATAAAGCCTTCACATATTTGACAAAGTGAGTGAGGACTCATTTGTTCCACTGTGGAAACAATGTAGCAAACGACCGGTGGTATTTGAAATTTATTTAAGCAACAGAGTAAACGCTTGTTAAATTTGAGTTAAAGTGCACCTAAGAGCTTTTGAAGGACAAATAGCACATTTCCTTCAAATCAAACTACGACGTCAAAGTTAAAAACATCCTGCTTTCTTGCTGTGTCACCAAAGTTAGGTAATTTTATTTTGATAAAATCAGATAAAAAATGATAGGCAGGGCTTAGAACAGTAGCGTCTACAGGCTACACAACACCTGTGTCTAGTCTCTATAAGATAAATGTGTCATGCCCTGAGGGAGAGGCGTTTTCTTTAAATCATAACTGAGAAATCTTGGCGAAAATTCCGTCTGTCCATAGAGAATGATCAGCATTTTTACTCTAAACAGTGCTGGTCATGCATGAACCAGACTTCAGATAAGTAGAATGCAGCTGCAGATAACAGCTGCTGAGATTAAAAGATTACTTCTTCTTTTCAAATTCTCTTCAGTTTATCAATCAAGCAACAGCCAACACATTTTTTTTCTACAACAAAAGTCATCTCAGAACATTTTACAACAAAATTAATTTAATGACATACTCTAGCCATTCAGAAGTGGGGTCCTTTGGAACAGTTATTATCTTACCTGTTGTAGATATCTCTGAATAATTTCCGTTTGGAGAATCAGAGTATTTCTGATAGGACTAATGAGCTAATTTGAGGGAACAATAAAGCGTTTAAATTCTGTTTTCTTGTAAAATAACTACCCTTTCTGTTGATTTCGTGACTAAAAACAGCTACAGTAAATCATGCATTTTGTAACACACCTGAGAGATTTCTGGAAATAAAGCATTTTAATTCTTAATTCACTCATTTCAACATTTAAAATGAAAAATGAAACAAGCTTGCTATCAAAGTGACACATATCTTTTTTTTTAACTGGTCAATATTCACACAAACCCATTCAGTTTAAATAGAACATCTTTACAATTCATAACAGCAATTTACAGCAGCAGGTTAAAACAAATAATAAAACTTATTGTTGTCCAAGACATAAAATCCACTTCTCATGGTCCAAAATATAAAAATAGCACACCAATAAAACTGTGGCTCTTGGTCAGCCTTTCATCTAAAATGCACCGTGTTAATTTTTAACCAAATCTTTGTGTGTGTACTTTATCCATTTAAGCACATTCTGAATAAATTAAAAAAAAAACTCAAATAATGAAGCTGATACTATAAGTTTCAACTATCCAAAGATGAGGAGTTAGTTTTAGATTTTGTTATGCTCAAGAAATTTCCCACCGGCTGTATCTAGGTGTTAAATTACATTTGCTCCCTTGGAGACGACTTGTTCTAAAAGCACAAGCATGTGAAACTCTAGAAGGATGAGATCAGATGTAAAAAGCTGCTTTTCTAGTTGGTCAACAAAAGCTTTATTTAAGACAAAGTGTTTACAGTAGGAAAGGCTGTTAAAAAACTGTTTTAAAGCTGACTTTATGTTGTTCGTAATGTTGGGTGATGATGTAAGAGTCTCCAATTCAGTCCTGTGAAGGCAGGGGTGGAGTACAGAAACAATTTCTTATAAAAAATATAATTTCAGTTAAATAATTATCAAAACAAATTGATTCATCGTGAGTAAAAGAGAGATCAGGAGTAGAAAGCTGCTTCTAAGCGATGGAGACGAGCCGTTAAAGTGACAGATGCATCCCGTTGGGTTTCGAGGACCTGGAGGATTGGGCGTTGGAGGAGGAGCTGGACATCTGAGCCAGTCCACCCCAGTGGACTTTGGAGCAACGTACTCCTGGTTTAGTCCTCCTTTTGTAAATACCCAGTAGAAGTTGTCCTTGAAGAAATAGGTATCTCCTAAAGAACAACAGCAGCAGTCATGAGACAACACTATAAAAATAATATAAAATAAATGTCTGATAAACTGATTTGGGTTTTCTGTCATCCTGTTACTATAAATCCTAAAGATTTACCTCACAGGACAATTCTAGGAGACTGGTTGGCTTAGCTTTTATTTATTTTTTTATTTATTCATTCATTTAAAATAAAAAAAGAAACTAAACAAATTCATCCAAAAAAAAAAAAAAACACTGAATGAAAAGGGTGCAGAAAGAAGAAAAAAAAAATCTTATATCTGCCCCTTATTTAAAAAATATATAAAATAATTACAAAACAAACAACAACTCAGGCTTGAACAATCCCCAAGGTTAAAACAAACAGGCATTCTTCACATGGCACCATACTTTCCCAACAATTTTAACTTAATCATCTTTTAAAACATATAAATAGTTTTAGAAATTTTTATGGTGATGTCAAGGCAATTCCATAATCCTATTCTCTGAATCACAACGCAGCTCCTTCAGACTAGTTCTAATTCAGAGGTGACCAAAGTGGGGCCTGCCGGCCAAAGTTGGCCCGCCAAGCAGTCCTCATTACTATATTAAAGTTTCCTTTGAAGAATCAATGCATTTTCACTCAGTCATTCCATTTACTTTAATATTAGATGGGAAAGTCGTCCCATTGACTACCTTATATATGAGACTGTTTATTTATGTTCATATTATTGTTGCTGTTAAGTTGTGTTGCTGTTGGACATGCAGTTTTTGACATTTTGCACTACATTTTATTATACTGAAATGTCAAATTTTCAGAATTTGTTTTAATTTCTTATATACAACTTGTTAAATTTTGGGTTCTGTAATGCTCTATACAGAATGGAAGGTTAAATAACTGTATAATAAATAATTGGACTTTACTTAAAGATGTATTTTGCATTTCATGCATTATACTATTGCATTTGGCCCGAGTCCTCTGATAGATTTGAAATTTGGTCCTTTCAGGGAAAAAGTTTGGGCATCCCTGTTCTAAATGGAGGTTTTACAAACATTTCCATTCCCTTAAGGTTTTAATGACTCTCTTAAAAATTTTTTTTTTGAATATTTGGGGGTAATATTTTTTATGAGCTTTATACATGACTTATAAAATACTATATTCAACCAAATCATAACATTTTAATCATTTCTACTGATGAAATAATATATTTGTTGGGTGACCATAGTACTTCCTACTAATGATTCTTATAGCTATTGTTTGTAAAATAAAAATAGGGTTTGTAATTGTTTTGCATGCTTTTCCCCAAACTTAAATATAATAGATTAAATATGGAACAATCATTGCATTATACAATATATACAAAGCTTTGTCATTCAAAAACTCTTTTATTTTCTACACTAATGAAATTGATTTTGCTATTTTTATTCTTAAGTAATTTACATGAGATTTCCATGTCAATTTCTTATCAATAATGACACCCCAGCCCTGAGGAATCCCACATCCATTAACACAAAATTCAGATCTTACATCTTTTACCTGTACAATTTGTCTTCTATTATTCAAATAACTTTATTACCAACTGTAGTGCTAATTCTCTAATGTCATATTTATTCAGTTTTTAAAGGAGAATGGTGTGGTCAATAGTGTTGAAGGCCTTTTTTAAATAAACAAAAATGCTAACACAATATTGTTTTTGATCATCAGCAGTTGTTATCTCTTGTATTAGTTCCATGAGAGCCATTGATGTTGAAATATTTGCTCTAAACCCATACTTACCATTGCTTAAAATATTCTGTTTATCTATAAATCAATCTAATCTGGTTACAAATAATTTCTGTAATATTTTTGTAAATTGCAGCATCGAGGATATTGGTCTGTAATTAGTGAACACACATGTCTCACCATTCTTATAAAGAGAAACTATATTTGCTATTTTCTGGAAATGTTCCTGTGGAAAATGATAAATTATGTATTGACTCGTTAATGTGAGGAAACATAATTTTAGCTGCAGTTAAACTGAATTCCGAGCCGTGCTGCTGCCTTTTATGAAGCCACGTTTTGAAAATCATAACTTATTCTCACAAAACTGTATTTTTGTGCAAATTACTATTACATCACTGTACACCTCCACTCACATCACACTCACTTGTGTCTATTATGCACCCACCTCAGCAACCGCTCCCAAGATTTTGATTTAATTTAGTGCACTTTTAAAATGAAAATAACCTGACACCTCTGTAACTAAATGTAATGAGCATTATATTATAGTTGTTAATAAAAAAGGAAGAGACTGGTTCAAATTCATCTATAATGCTGATAAGAGATTTATTTTAATTTTTTTATTAAATGGCTCTTTAGAGCAGTAAAAAATGATTTAAGTGAAGTGGTAATTAAAATATTTGCAGAAGTAGCTACAAATCCCTGTTTACTTTAGTACTAATCAAATCACAAATCAATTTCTTTTCTTGACTCTTAATACCATTATGTTGTTTTTAATCTTAACTTCTGCATACCAGCTAAACAATGTCATCGCCCACAAATCAACCTCCCTCATGGTTTTAGTTGATCTTGCCTGGCAAAAATGTTATAATGTGTGTCTCAGTGGGACGTTACCTTCTCCCCAGGTGATGATGTCGTCCATGTTGGTTGGTGCTCCTCCCCAGATGCTGTTGTCTCGTGGGTAGTCTGCATCTGGCTGCTTGATCGTCTGATCACCCCTATGACTCTCATCAAACCTCCAGAACTCCCCATTACTGAACAGGTAGGTCTTGCCATTATGGGCCCAGCTGAAGGCTGCGTCCACCCGGTCCACCAGAGCCCCATTTTTCCTGCGTATGCCCCAGTCAGAGAGGGGCCGAGGGTACCCACTCATGGCCACTGTTGCTTCAAAGACCCAGTACTGAGAACCTAAACAGAAGGAGAGTGATAAACATTACTGAACCAATAACTTAACAGAAAGTGTAGTTGTTAATCTGGAACTTTAGCTTTGATTTTCCTTTATTTACTCAGTACACATCTGATCTGAATGTGATGTGCAAGGGTTTCCAAAAAAATACAATCAAGATCATTTTTTCTTAACATCTCCCAACCTCATGATTTCAACCAAGTCTGTGCTCATTTTGCTGAATGACGTATTTTCTCACAGTTTAAAGTCTATAAATTCCCCTTCCACTGATCATATTTCCGCGAAGGCCTTGTTTATTTTAACTTAGACCAAAGCACCCACAACATGCATATAAATAGTGGGAGTAGTGGTGCAGAGGTGGGCCTGTGATCGAAAGGTCACCGATTCGACTCCTCAGCTCGACCGCATCAAAATGTGGCTGGAGAATGTGGTGAAACGCCCACACAGAGTTTGGTTTATTTGTCATATGTAAAATGAACACAAGGTCAACAATACAATGAAATGCTCAGGACGAGAACCGTCTCGACTCGTCAAAAAACAACAAGAAATTTCAAAGCATGCAGCAAAAATATAAAAAACAAGGCACCAAATGTGAAAAATCAGCACGGTCCTATTAATTAATTCAAAGCAGTCTGCCCCTCAGATAAATATTGTTAACTTATTAATTTTTATATATGAATGTTTCTGTTCAGTGTCGTGAGACGATTTCTGTTGTGACTTGGCGCTATATAAATTAACTGAATTGAATTGAATTATTAGCAATGTGGTTACGTTAGCAGTGAGGTTTCTTTTAGCAACATGGTCTCGTTGGCACCATGGTACGTTAGCGGTGTGGTTCGGTTAGTGGTGTGGTCTTTTTAGCAGCGTTAGCAGTTCTCGTCAGCAGCTTGATGGTAATAATGACCGCAGCAGCTGCCCTTCCAGACTGCCTCCAGAACCGAGTCCGGCGGACGGAGAACATCCAAGGTTTCCCAGTGGAACCAAATGGGTCCATTCAGGCAGATGGAGGATCATGGAGACGGCCGCCATGACAGGCCGGAGCCTGAGCCCGAGCCCGAGGCTGGGGGGGGGGGGGGGGGTCAGGAACTGAACTATAATGACAGGATGGCTCGATGGCAAGACAGCGACACACAAAACTCCACAAGTGTCGCAGTCAGACTCGTGGGTGTACAGTGTAGGCGCAAAAAAAGTTCAAGCACAAACAACAGGAACAAAAAAAAAAAGATCAAGTCAAAGCGGAGCTTCCGTCAGTGCTACCATTCTGCGGTGCACGTGACGTCAGAGTCCACACCTGCCTCCACCTTCATTTGCCCCACTCTGGGCCCTTGAGCAAGGCCCTTAACCCACACCACCTGCTCCCAAACAGGTCTCTCTTGAAAACGAGTGACTTAATGAGATGACCTTAAATAAAAATAAATAAATCGTGGATGCTGCAAAACCTTCTACAATAAGTGACTATGGATTACAGTCATCGTAAGAGGCAAGGAATCTAGGTGCCATGTTTGACTCAGATTTTAAATTTAAACCACATATGCAGCCAGAAACAAAAATAGCCTTTTATTGTCCAAAAACATTTTCAAGGTGAGGCCTTTTCTCTCGTTGGGCAGAGTAGACTACTGCAACACCCTCCTTTCTGCTCTTCCAAAGAGCACAAGAAATCAACTCCGATTAATTCTGAATTCAGCAGCGAGCGCGCTGACAAAGAGGCAGAGCTCACATTAGTCCTGTTCTAAAGTCCCTACACTGGCTGCCTGTTAATTTAGTGGGTTCATTTATAACTTATTTTATTGTTTTTTAAGGCCCTTCACAGCCAAGCACCTATGTCAGAGAGAGGGTTTTGGTTTATGAATCAGGATCTCCTCTCCGATCCTCTGGTTTAGATGTTCCATGGTTTAGATGTTCCACATCGCAGAACAAGAACTTTAAGAGATTCTGCTTTTAAACGTAGGTTAAAAACCCATTCGTTCAGTCTGACTTTTACACAGGATAGAATAACCCCCATAATAATTGAAATAACATCAAATTTGTGAACCATTTTCACGCCTTCTGCTGTCAAAACGACACAACCCAAAACAACACAGTGCTTTTGTTTCCCACCGATGAAGAAGACGATCCTGTTGTCACTCTTCCTCTCATAAACAGCATCGATCTTATTTGTTCCAGGAGGGAGCCCGATCCAAAAGTTTTGGATTCGTGCAGGCCGTGGGGACACTAAAGACCTGTCTTGCTTAGTTCTCCAGAAGTGTGAACCTTTGAAAGAGAAGAGCATTTTTAAGATTCAGGTATAAAATATAACCATAAAATTAGAAAGTTCATGTGTTGAAAAGGATAAAAAGAAATACTTGTTTTTGTTTTTTATTGTTCTTGTTGTTTTATGAGTTCATGTGCACTTTTGTTTTCTGCATATCTTTCTCTTTGCATTTTCTTTTCTCACCTTTAAAAAAGAAGACCTCTCCTCTGATATTTGCTACTGCATCGAAGCCTCCTTGACACCGATCTTGAGGATCTTGAGGTGAAGGATCAAAACTGGGACAGAAAAAAGTCGAGTCAGAACAATTGTATTTATTGCATTTGATAAATCGCCACTAGAGGGTGCTAAAACCACAACAAGGACGTAGAAAACTGTTTTGAATAACAACAAAGTCTATGCTCAATAATCCAGGTATAAAATCAAACATTTTTCAGTCAGGTCATCTGGACAGTTTCTTTTTTTGTGCTGAAACGTTCAGCACAATCATGTTTTGAATAACCTCAAATTATATGAGCACACGTTAATTTAATGAACATTAAAGCAAATATTAAAAGGCTTATTGGACTGGTCTTCTGGTCCTACTCACCTTTTTGTTGGTCTTGGGGGAGGCGGACGAGGCAGGAGTGTTGGGGGAGGATTAACAACACCTGGCCTTCCATTGATTCTCACGCCTGAAACATTATGACATGCAGACCGTATTAAAAAGGAACTGAAAGATGCTGACAGCATGAAAAAACTGTAGGAGGAACCTCCATTCTTCTCAATAACTGGGGGGTGGGGGCGTTGACAAACAGTATGCAACCTGTGTTTTTAATGATCTTATTGGAATTTTTTTATTAGTCCTTTAGCATGAGTGCATCTTTAAACAAATTAAATTATTATAACTAAATCATCAGAGGATCACTTTTGTCTTTTTACAGGCTCGTGGTGTAATTTATCACTTACAAAACAAGTGAGATGTTTTTCTCATGGACCAGAAGATTTTGTTTAAGAAAGGTTAAAACCAAACAATGTTAACCAAATAGAGAATAAAATGACTGTTAACAGAAGTACTTTGGTACAGTATTGCACCATTATTCTACCTACAACACACTTGGGACATGTAAGTCCTCATTAAAGTACAGGTGGGTTGTCCTCCCAGCATAGTCTGTGACTCTCCACACTTTTTAGTATTTACCTCCACCATGCAACTAATACTTTCTTCAGGGATATCTTCAGAATCACTCAGGAGTAGATGCACTTTTTGTCAATGATGCTATGCTGAAAGCATATGAACTAATTTTAACATTAATTTAAACTGTGTTACTCCCATTCTGGAGTTTTAAGGTACTCATGGTTGCCATGAATGCCAGTCCAAAAAAATGATCATTAAGTAAAAAAATATAATGTGCAATTTTTCATATTAATAGTCTGTCAAATAAAACATGCAAGCAAAATATTCAACCAGATGTAAACTATCATGTGCATTTATTTAAAAATGGACAGCGACTGAAAATTGGTCAACAATGGTGATGTCAGGATGGGGTTGTCTCTTTCAATCCTTTAACTGTATTTGCACACATTTAAGCTCAGATTTGTTGAGTAAACTTCAGATAAAAAGACAGGTTGAGTTGGAAAAATAAACATACCGGTCTAGCGAAATATTAGCAAAAGCAGCGTGAGTTTGAAAGCTGACCAATGTACTGAGGGAGCTTCACTGCTCTGCTTGATCTCCAGTATTTATTCTTGCCAGTTACTTTTCATCCTCTCTCTCTTTTTGTTTGCAACTCCTATAGTTCCTGCCTAATGTCAGCTCTTCAATTCTTTGCTTGTCTGATCATGCCGTATGTATTTATCTACACAGACTATGGCCAGCTTAATGTAGGTCAATAACATAACTGAAGCTTCCACGTGGTTTTCAATGGATTCAGCAGAGTGTGTTGTTTACAATGAGTGTGGACCCGCATTTCAGAATTGCATATCTCTGGAAAACTGCTGGAGTAAACTCAAACTGCACCATTTTTTATAGTTCAAGTTAACCGTTTTTACATTTAATTTCATACTTTGCAATGAGTTCCTTTAAATAAAATTTAGATGTGATCTTATCATGAAGTCTCAACACACTTGGGGTGTTATTTGTAATAACTAAACCATCACTGACCGTAAAGCTGTTGGATGGCCATTCTGTCGTCCAAGGCCAGCCTGAACCTGGACACATCTCCCACTGATCCTTGGTAGTACGGTCTCATGATGGAGGGATCAGAGGACGAGTGAGAAAGGCCAAGAGCGTGGCCGAACTCATGCACAGCTACGGTGAACAAGTCTGTGGTGCTGCTGTCACCTGTGGAGTTGTGAAGCTAAAATGTTACTGGCTCACACAAACACATGCACTTTAAATGTTTCTGGCCTTTGTATTTGTAATGCAACATCTTGGAGAAATAAATACCTCCATAGCTCCAGGTCTCGTGATCATCAAAGTGCGTGTCACCAGATACATCTTGATCACCAGGGAAGAAGGCGTGGGCCAGAGTGCCGCCCTGTCCGTCGAAAGGGTACCCATCATCATGAAGCAATTTGGCAAATGACACTTTGATGTCCCCTCCAGCTGTGGCCCCCGTGTTGGCTCCACGCAACTGACGGAAGTTTAAGGGAGTCACATCACTCCAGGCTTTGAAGGCATTAAACAAGAGCGTGTCCACTTGATCTTTGGGGAGGTTGGTGGAGATGGAGGGTGTAGGGTAGCTGTGGACACTACACAAAAGAAAAAAGCTTTTGTTATAAGAAAAATTAAGGTTTAACCATTCTAAACTACACTTCTGACTTTTGCTATAACAAAATAGATTTTTGTTAGCAACTATGATCTTTTTCTTTTAAATTATAGTTTAAAATAGTTTGGTTGAGGTGCAAGTTTTAGGAAACCTTGACAATGATTAAATAAAGCTCATGATTCATGTGTGTTAAAGCCACAATGTGTTGTGACAGGAAACTCACCTCCACGTGAGGTCTGTCTTCTGCCACTTCAGGCCTGACAAGGCGTATCTTTTCCTCCTCCTCCTCCTCATGTCTTCACCTCCAACAATATCCGGAAGGGAGCATCGTGGTGTGGACATGAGTTTGAATGTTTCATTGTCTTGAGGAGAAGTTGATCACATTTGTGTGATGAAATCAAACATATAAGAGGGAAGTTTCAGACATCATCTGACTCCACATACACACGATATATTGGCTTAAATTATTTTGGTTGTTACCGAGTAACCCAGTTTCAGGGAGCCCTCCAAATCTTTGCATGACACGGATAGCTTTCTCAATCCCCTCTCTGGTCTGCAGTTTGCTGGTGCGTGGGTCAGGAGGTGGAAGGTAGCCATACCTGCTCAGCCAGTCCTACAAGAAACAAACAAACAAACAAAAAAGTAGAAGAAATTATGCAACTTTTTTATTTTTATGTTTATATATATATATTTTATGTATAAGTTTTATGGGAGGCTGGGCAATAAAGACGACAAGAAGGACCTGTACCAATAGGTGAGACAAAGGGATCAGGCTGGAAAGGACGTGCAGCAGGTTAGACTGGTTAAAGATAGGAATGATAATGTTCTAACAAGTGAGGAGAGTGTGACAAGAAGATGGAAAGAGCACTTTGAAGAGTTAATGAATGAAGAGAATGAAAGAGAAAGAAGAGTAGAGGTCATAGAAACTGTGGACCATGAAGTGGGAAAGATTGGTGAGGGTGAAGTCCAGAAAAATCTGAAAAGAATGAAGAAGGGGAAGGCAGTAGGACCTGATGACATACCAGTAGAGATTTGGAAATATCTTGGAGAGATGGAAGTGAGGTTTTTGACTCAAATATTCAATGACATATTTGAGGATGAGAAAATGTCTGAGGAATGAAGAAGAAATGTGCTGGTGCCCATTTTTAAGAACAAGGGTGATGTACAGAGTTGTAGCAACTACAGGGGAATTAAGTTGATGAGTCACACAATGAAGATCTTGGAGAGAGATGTGGAAGCAAGACTTAGACAAGAAGTGACTATTTATGAGCAGCAGTATGGTTTCCTGCCAATAAAGAACACCACAGATGCCATCTTTTCTTTGAGAATGCTGATGGAGATAAGAAAGAACTCCACTGTCTTTGTGGATTTAGAAAAACATATGACAGGGTGCCGAGGGAGGAGGTGTGGTATTGCATGAGGAAGTCTGGAGTGGCAGAGAAGTATTAGACTGGTACAGGACATGTATGAGGACAGCAGGACAGTGGTGAGATGTGCTGTAGGAGCGACATATAGCTTCAAGGTGGAGGTGGGAATGGATCAAGGATCGGCTCTGAGCCCCTTCTTGTTCGCTCTGGTGATGGACCGACTAACAAATGAGGTCAGGCAAGAATCCCCGTGGACTATAATGTTTGCAGATGACATTGTGATCTGTGGTGAGAACAGGGAACAGGTGGAAGAGAACTTGGAGAGGTGGAAGTATGCACTTTAAGGAAGAGGAATGAAAGTCAGCCGTAGTAAGACAGAGCAGATTATTTCTTTGTGACAAGCTTCTGGTAACAAAGAGCCTAAAGATCTCCAACATATTTCAGTCAGGTCATCTGGACAGTTTCTTTTTTTTGTGCTGAAACATTTCGCCTTCGATCCGGAAGGCTTCATCAATCAAGGAAACACACAACAAAAATGTTGGATTTTATACCTGCATTATTGAGCATGGATTTTGTAGCCTAAAGATCTGTTTCAATATTGGTTCTTTGTTAAATTGTCTCCTATGTTTCTACACAACACTGGTTCTAACACCGAGTTATAAGCCTTTCATGCCTGGAAGATTCATAGGATTCAAATCAAGCTGAGAGATTTAACAGGCAAAAACCTGAAAAATGCTGATCAAGACCATTTTGAAATTTTTAAAGAAAGTGTGACTGCTTGGAAGCAAAATATATACCATACCTTTAGCTGTATAAGTCACACCTTTCTGCATAAATTAGCAAGCCCTGCAACTTATGCAGTGAAGCAACTTATTTATGTTTTTTTTACCCATATTTATAACCCAATTTTTGGCTGAGATCTGACAATTTCATTCATTCTGACATGGAAAATATTGAACACTACCATTTTCAGTCACTAGAGGGCGCTCAAGTCTTATGGCAAGCCAAGTGTCTCATTAATATGTAAAAGTGGCTATTAATGTGACACTTGGCTTGCCATACAAACCACCTTGGTGTCGCTTTGGAACGCTTGGAACAAACGTCAAACCAGCTGCATGTCGCCGCGCCGCCCAGGTGAAATGCAGATGATTTGACCATCAAAGTGCATTTATTAAGGAAAAGTTAAAATGAGACACACATTTGCTATAATTTTGAGCAAACAAATAATTGTTTTTAAGTGTTAATCTAGTTAAATTCTTGTTACAGTCCTACCATGCATGCTCCCGTGGCCGCCATTTGGCAGCCAATTTATTTTTGGCACAACACCGGCTCACGTTTTTGAGTGGTCAGCGGTGATGCATAAAAAACACGTCGCGTCAGCGGTGACACATAATAGATGCAACTTATATGGCAAAGCCACATTTTTTTTTTTTCACTTTATTAGACATATTTGGACTGATGCAACTTATACGGCGGCAAGTACGGTAGAGAGGAAGGATGAATTAAGACTTTTGGGCAGTCCTGTATCTGATGTCATGGGGTGCTGCTTCACTCTTGACTGTAAATGATCAGCTTTGAGTTTTGTGTCCTTCGCAGTCTTTCACATATTGTTTTTACAATATCCTGTCCTTGTGTAAGATGGGTAAATGCTTGAGAGCAGTCAGTAAAACGACATTGATGTTGCAGTAAAACCATCAAAGTCTATTGTTGAAAGAGATTCTGAAACCCGCTCTGTCTTTTCATGACCTCCACCCTTCTTCAGCACTTCCCCATGCAGCTGAAAGGAAAAAGGTGTTGGTCCCTCCAACAACTGTCTTTCTGTGGGTTTTTTAACCACAACAACGTTTATACAAAGTCGTTGAATTTTTTTTCTTAAGCTCCTGTAAAACAGGTCCTTTTTTAATTTTCAGCAACGCACAAACTCTCATTTTAGTAAGCCCATTTTTAATTGTTTGAATAAAATGATTTGTTTGTGGCGACAGCAAATGAAGAACCCCTATCCACAGTCAAACAACACAATAGTGCTCGTACAAGTGATGACACAAAAAGAAGGAATAGAGATCATATTTGAGGAACCGCTTGACTGAAATGTAAACAGGAAACTTTGAGATTTATTTCCTTTAGTGACTCAGAACTTTTTGTTTATTTATTGTTCATTGTGCAGGATACTGGTTTTATTTCCTGTCAAAAATAAGCTCACCAACAATCATTTCATGCATGTTTTTATTGATGATGTATTGCATGTTTTTAATGATTTCCTATATGTCTAATACCCACTGCAGCCCCACTTTTCACCATATGTTTTCATTATAAGCCTTAGTGATGTTCAGACCAACACTTGTGCCTATAATTACAAACAACCAAAGTGTAACTTGCCACTATTGCCCTGTAATTAGATTATAAGTTGATGTAATGATATAAATGTTTTACTGGCACAGATGGTTATGTTAAAAATAATTATGGGACAAACTTTGCATTTATCTCCATAAAATGAACCCAAACAGCTGCTCACTCACCACGGCTCTGCTGTACTGATCCACCGAGGCTGACGTTCGTCCCATAAAGTTCACAACCAAACACAGCAGAAGAAGCAGCTCCATCTCTGCAAACAAAGTGACCTGTTGTTTCTCGTGGATTCGTTGTGGTTTAACGAGAGCATTTCTGGTTTACTGCAGCAGATTTCCAAAGCAACACAAAGCTCACCGTTGTTTCTCCTCCAGAGCATCTCTGGGGATCAGGCTGGGCTGGGCTGATCGATCCTGAGCTGCTGCGCTCTCTGTGGTCGCAAACTGATCATCTGCAGCTTCTGCCTCTTCTTATTCTCTCTCTCGGATATCCGATTCTACTCTACATGAGAAGCAGTAAGTGTGACGTAGATTCCCCAGAAGTGACCTCACCTCACACCGTTTAACTTAAACCATAATCTTGTTTTATTTAGACAAACCAAACCAGACCTGAGCTATAAATTCACTGTGATGTCTGTCACCCAGGAAGATGCTTTGGACTGTGTTTCATACCATAAAAGGTCCAGTATTTTTAACCTGTCATTAGAGGTGCACAGGAAAACCATATTTGCAGATGATTGGAGCACATTTGAATAATTTCTGGAAGGACGTCACATTTTGAACCTTTTTTTTTTCCTCATGGTGGAAATTTATAGCCCATGATCAAGGTACTTATTGCAATGTTATAAACACCAGTCAGAAATAAATCATAAAATAAAATAAAAATTGTTATTTTTGTATTATCATATTGATTTGTAAACAAAATTTGTGAACAGCTGCAAACTAGGCGTTTATTGTTTGTTTGTTTTGTTTGTTTGCTTGTTTTGTTTTTATGAAACAGCTGAAGAGTCTTGAATAGGTAATCTATGGGGGAGCTTGTTAGGATGAAGAGCTCAGTCAATTTTCATGCATTAGTACATATTTACGCTCAGATTTGTTGGATGTATTTCTCATGTTTTTCTTGAACATTAGATGAATTTGTTAAGATGCATTACAAAATGTTGCTCTTCAAATATTTCAGGCTCAAATGTTTGGGTTTCTTGCATAATTTTAAAGCAGACTCACTCGTAAACCCTCTTGTCTGAGATTCTAGGTTTGTGCAATTTCACCATATTTGTTTTCCTCCACAGGGTACGCAACTGAGCAGACGCAATTCACATGACTCAAGCTTCCGCATGGTTTTTAGTAAATTCAAGTGATTTGTTCACATTGTACCTGAATTTCAGAGTTGCATGTCATCATTTCTGAAAAACTCCTGGAGTGAACTCTTTCAAACTACACTTTTTTTTATTTTACCTAAAAAATCTAATCAAGGACCATTAGAAAATAAAATAATAATAATGCAAATAAGAAAATAACTGTCAAGATAAAATAAAAGCAACCCATATGTTAAACAATTTTTTATTATTCTTTTAAATTATTGTTGTTAGTCTGTAATGTTTGTTTTATGTACACAAATTGGTGAATACAATTTTATTTTTTTTAAAAACTGCACTTTTTGACAACTTGTCAGCATAACATATTTATGATGTTTTTTGCAACAAATAAAGCAAAGGTCAATGCTGATACTCATGCAGGTAACGCCCTACAATATTTATATTTGCTTTAACGGTTGCCACGTGATAAAAATCAAGTTTTTGTTATAAATTTATTTGGCTTTAACTTCTGTGTTACGTTCCTGTACATTATATATTGATGTTAATTCAATTCAGTTTATTTATTTAGTGCCAAGTTACAACAGAAATCATGTCAGGACACTGAACAAAAACAGTCACATACATAAAAAAGCCCATTAGTTAAAGTTCTCTTTCTAAGGAAGCCAGCAGATTGTGTTGAATTGTCACTTCATCACAGTCTCCCATCCTGAGCAAGCACAAAGGTAATAGTGGAAAGAAAAAACTCCCTTTTAACAGGAAGAAACCTCCAGCAGAGCCAGGCTCAGGACGCACGTCCATCTGCTTTGACTGGCTGGAGTTTGAGAGGACAGGAAGGAGAAACAAACAATCACAGAATGGCAGGTCCAGATGTTGGTGCAGATGTACCGCCTATTGGAAGAAAGAAAATGAAGAAATGTGGTCAGTTTGTCCTCCAGCAGTCCAAGCCTATAGCAGCATAACTAAGGGATAGCTTAAGAAATGCAAGCCAACTCTAACGATAGGATTTATCTAAAAGGAAAGACTTAAGCCTAATCCTAAAAAGAAGACGATGTCAGAAACTGGAAGTTGGTTCAAAAGAGAGGAGCCTGATAACTGAAAGCTCTGGCTCCCATTTTGGAAACTCTAGGAACTACAAGTAAACCTAACATTCAACATTCAACATGACAGTTTAGGGTCTCATAACTCATTTAAAGATGCTGTCTGTTTGTTTTGTTATATAAACCGTTATTTAATCTGCACATGTTCTTACAGAGTTCAAGAACATTAAATTGTCTGTACGTGTTTTTATCATAAAGTCAGTCACAAACTGTGTGACCCCCTCGCCGTCATGGGACGATCTGAGTGTATCAAGAATGTGACTGAAAGAGCCATGCAGCTGTTTATGGTGTCAATTAAAAATCTTTTATGCTCAAATGTTGCTGTGTAGTACGTTATTAGTACTTGCCACCTTAAAGGTCTCTTGAGTGATTTGATGCAGGAGGTTCTTGTTTCTTTTGGTTTCCCAGCTCAGCACGATCCTCACTGTTTCTGTGTTCTTCTCTTGTTCTTCTGCCTGTTCCCATGAATAAGACTTTAGGAATGCTTTGAAGAGGTTATAATGTGGCTCAAACATTCATTTAGATCCAACAAAGAAATGATTAAATCTTGGGGGTCAAAGTTGAAAGGTCTTAGTCGTATTGACCTTACTTGACTAGTTTTTGGTCACAACTTAAGAATTCATTTTTTTAATTCAAACTTTTTTCATAAACGTTTTGTGGGTGGAGAGATTCCATTTTATTTAAAGATTAAAACACATTTTTTCCCCTAATATAACTCTCAAACAGAAGGATAAATGTAAATATTTTACATTTTGATTTCTTTTTGCTCAAGTTCTAGATTTTATTTTTTTATGGGCTGATGTGCATGAAGCCTCTATGTTTTACACGTTTTGGTTTTATCCAGGCAAAATAAACAACAATATAACCTATAATTATTATAATTAATAATACCTACAGTATTAAATGTTTTATTAGCCCAGACAGAAACAAATGCGATTTGTAGTTTGATTTCTTGACAAGTTGTGCAACACAAATAAATAATTATAGGTGCAAAGATAAATAATTAAAACAAGATATTGTTTTCACTTTGTTTTAAATAAAAGATTCTATGATTTATTTTAAGTGCTTTTCAAGATGAAACTGTCAAAATACTTTGAGGAATTATGTGTATTTCAAACATTTAGTCAGCTATATATTTTTTATATAAAAAAATACTATGTTTATATATAATATACAAGTTAGAAAATTATAAATTAGAGTATTAATTCATACATTTCTGTTTTATTTGAAACTGATTTTAAGTGGTATTCTCTAGATAGAGTCTAAATCGTCTTTGATGAAGATTCATTGAACCCTTATCGCATTTGTGCTGTTTTATGATGGTTAAAATTAAAACTCTGTCTTGTGAATTATAAAAATAAAAGTGCACCTGGTATAAAAAATAGTTACCTGAATATAACCTTTTAAACCAAACAGAATTTCAAAAAAACAAACAAGATCATTAAAAATACATTAAATTTCATTTTTAGTTTAAAAGAAACAATTCAGCGAGCGTTCTTGTAATGAAATAATTTATTTGAGGGGCTTGGTGAGGCTGCATTAGGGAGTGCTCTGGCATCTCAGAGTCCCATTAAGTTTGTGGGTCGGCACTTTCATCCAGGCTGCGAAGCATCAGTAGTATTATCTTTCCATTCACCCCCTTCCTCCCCCTTCACTTGTCTTTAATTTCTCTTCATCCTTTGGGACCCTGAGTGAGTCATGCCATTAGCACAAAATGCAGTCGTGCTGATAGCAGGCCAGTTTCCGTCATGTCCATTTCGTGTTGCTGCTCTGTGCACAAAGTAATCATTTTGCTGCTTCGCATCAGCTATTTATGTGTCTTTTCCTGTTTTAAGTGTGACATAAATAGATTATTTGAAAAATAAAAGATAACTGAACTAAAATCTGCAGCCCAGTTTAACTTTACATCCTTTGCTCTGAACAAATCAATAAATCAATCCTGACTGGTTTCTGCTCAGCCCAGACTGCAGATACCAGCTACAACACCGACACACACAACATGAACATCGTGGTAATATTATGTGTACACGTGAGCAAAATTAGACATTAGATGTTGTGAGTTGTGCATTTACGAACCATTGAAACAAATCTCATTTCATCCCAGTGTTCACCTGTTAGATTTCGACAGGAAACATTTAAACATTTAACATTTTTTTAAATGCACCGCTTTGTGTACCAGTTGGAAACCATCTTTTTCAATCTGTTGTCTGCACTGCATTTTTATTACCTGCCACCAGAAGGCATATAATGACAATAATATTTGGTTTTAGTATGAGTGTGAGTGGGGAGGGGGGGATTACCAAAAGAGCTTATGAACCACTAGACATATTTTGCACAAAGTAATCACTGATATACATGAACAGCTAACAAGTTTGATAGTTTTAGGTGTACAGTATGAGATGGTGCCACAAATGTTCCTAAAAACACAATAACAACTATGACTCTGTTTATTTTACTTATATGAACCTAAAGTTTAGTCTGATCCCCAACACATATTATAAGCTCTACCACACTGTACAATATCTTCTATCTAAATTTTGTCATTAACTATTTGGAGTCACCTCTCTCCATTAGCAAAATATCTTGTGAACAATGGACACATTTTTATACAACTTTTGGGAAAAATTAAATGAATATACATTTACAGATGATTCACTTTTGGAGCCAATCCTATTCATCGTGTATGCTACAACCAGCTGATCTTAAATACACACAAATAGCTATAATTCAGTTGTTTTTTTGTGCTAAACTTTTGTGTGGCATTAAGTGAGAGTCCATCACAACATGTACTTTAAGAGCTACTCATTGCACAAGATTTTAGTTTCAAAATTTAGCATTAGGATGGAGTTAACTCCGCTAGTGAAGTGGATATGCATCTACAACTGAAGATGGTCGCCACAGCTAATCAACATTAACCAACACAAAAATGCTCCAAACCCAGTCAGCTTGATGAATATTTAGCTAAAATTTGATGTAGCTGAATTTCATCCGCATCACACTGTTTGAGCGTGACATCAAACACTATTGCATGAGATTGTGCATTAAAGTTTGACCAAAATGGTTACAACTCTTTGATTCCTCAAGTTAAGATGATTTCAGTCTCAATTTCTGACGGGTGATTTCTTCAAGGATTGCTAAAACTCTTATTAAGAGTAAAACCAGTGGAGTGTTTGTGTAAATTAGACTAAATAACAAAAACTAAATAAAAACTGAGCATTAGTGGGCCCATAATAAAAAGAATGACATTGATGATCATTTTAAAGCAACATGTTACACAAAATATTTTGGATTCAAAACAGATTTTTTTTTTTTTTTTAAATAATCCTCACCCTTGGGTGGGTGCAAAATCTAGCACAGGACAAAGGCAGGTCTTAAACACAGTTTTATTTTTATTAAAGGGATCCAAAGCCTTCACAAAAGGGTTGACTCTTATAGCTATGCAGTGCTAACACAACACGTGACCACAACAAAAACAACACAAACGACTTTCGTGACCGAGGCTGAAGACAAATAAATAAAAGTTTTATATGAGATGCATGAACAGAACCAATAATCAGAGGGAAGTGAGCAGAATTTAAAACTCTCTCAAGCACAACTGCTTCTGTACATCTGATTTGTCTCTGCAAGTAGCTGATTGTCTGCAGCGCCATCTTTTGGTCATTTGCAGTAATTTCACAATTTCTAAAGTTCTCCTTTTCTCCCAAGTCTGATTGTCAGCCGCAAAATATTTGCTTTTAAATCCTTATGTTTTGCATGCAAGGATTCTTGATTGTCACTCGCTGATGAAGATGTGTCTTTATTGTTTTTACAAAAGAAAAAGTAAATCAGAGCTTCTTATTCACTCTTTTTTCCAAGACTGCGTTTGGTGTTTGGTTGACTTATAAAACATTTGTCCACATTTATATAAAATATGAAGATAATAAATAGCTTTACCGTAGTTACAGTATTTTAGTCTCATCTTAGACACAGTTGGCTGACCAAACTCGTTATTCTGACAAATTAAACCTGCGCTTTAGGATGACCAGAGCCTGGGCCGGATTTTAGCAGGGGCTTACAGGGGCTGCAGCCCGGGGCCCCGGCATTTCAGGGGCCCCGAAGGATGTTTTATGTTTTTGTGAATGGATAGTGTCAGAATTTAATCAATGACTATGATGATTTTGACAGCACCGATGAAAAATGTTCCAATTTGTTCTGGGAAACGTCCATCTTGAATGCTTGCTTGTTATTGGTCCACTTTTGACGCATCTTACGCATTGGGGAGGAGCGTCAGGGAATATTATTTTACAATGGCAGACAACAGTGTTTGTGGTTCTAGTTCCTCCAAATAAGAAGAATGCAGAAGTGTCATTAATAAATGGAAATCTGTATTTTGTTCTTCATATTTTTCAAGATATTCTCTGTAAAAACCTTGGTCTATATATATATTGTATAATATATAGATATATATATAAATAGATATATATATATATATATATATATAGGGCCCCCCCATATACAGTATTGACTCCAGCCCAGGGGCCCCCATCCTGACTCCAGCCCAGGGGCCCCCATCCTCCTAAATCCGGCTCTGGTCCAGAGCCCATAGCATCGCTACATTCTCCCCTTTCATAACATCAGACAATCGTCCACAGTTCCCTTCTTCACACACAGATGTTTTTTTTTTAATATAAAAATAGCGGTTGTAGTGTTGTCAGGATAGGCAGGATTTGCACTTTTTATCTTGAAGTTTTTGACGTTTTCATACAAGTGATTGTCTAATATCTTCACAGTTGTGTCACAGCTTACGCTCAGGGATTTATGATCATTAAGCTGCTCGAATAACAGGAAACTGTGGTTACACTTCACAATACACCTGACATCTGCTGGCATTTACTCTGCGTTTCTGTCCGTGTGGCATAGCAGTGAATCAAATCCTGAAGTTCTGCTCAGCGTTGTTTCACTTCCATTTTATGAAACTTTAAAACCGCACTCATTAGGGTCTTTTTAATCATCAAATTTTAGATAAACCTATAAGATATAACTTTTTAAAGTTTTCTGGGCTTCAAATGTAATTATAATTTAAAAGCAACTTATTAAAATGTATAACCCACATTTATGCAGCTTTTTGGAGTATTCAACTTAACTTGTGGGTTTATGAATAAAATAAACATACACATGTATCTCATTTTTCCCTAATTTTGTGGAGAAATTTGACCCAAATTCTAATAATCAAGTATAAAAAAAGCAATTATTTTTGTTTCACCACAAACTGAAATTCCATCTTCAGACTCTTTTAATCCTAAACATGCATCAGACTGATCCTAATCTTCATTTCATCCATAGAATTATCTTATTATTCAAAATAATCTGTGCAAACTAAGACAATACCAGTATGCCCAGAGTACTATTAAGTGCAACCAAAGCTGCTCTTGGCTGAGTTTGTAAACATTTAATGCTTTTTGGAGTCTTCAACCCATCAAGGCTCCTCTGCAGCTCAAACCTGTGCCTCCTTAAAAACCAAGATGGTTGCTTTCTCCATTTTCTTCTTTTGTTAGTCAGCAGTCGTCTGGAGCTCACTGTAGCCTGGCCCAGTACTGGCCCAAGTTCTGACCCATGCTCTGCGGCTCTGTACCTGGGACCTGGACCGGCACTGAAACCCCAGGCGAGATGAGCCCTGAAAGAAAGAGGAGTGAAAATAAAATCAATGAGTTTGGAGCTCAGTCTGACTTTAGCTAACAAAGAAAGCAGTCATGCTGTTGTGCCTCTCTGTTAAATGGATCCTCACCTGTGTTGGAGTTGGCTGAGGGAGGACTCTGCAGGTGAGGGGAGGAGTACGCTGAGGAGTCAAAACTGCGTGGAGCAGAAGGAGATGGAGGCAACATGCAGGAGTATGAGGAGGCCGACTGAGGAGGAATGGACTGAGAGAGGAAGAGGAGAGAGGAAAGGTGTTCATTGCCGTCACACTGACCCTTACAAATATCACTATGATTGAAGGGTGTAGGAAGTGGAGGTGTTGAGGGTGCTGCAGCACCAGAGCAAATGTATTGTCCACATAGTTTAAAAGTTATCTTTAAAAAGAATAGTAATAATAATAATTTATGGTTCACATGACTACATTTTAACAGTATTTTGATATAATGAGTTCTGCTTATGCAAAAAAAAAAAGATAGATAGACAGACAGACAGACAGACAGACAGACAGACAGATA